AGTGATTTTTAATATCTTTTAATGGGCTTATTGGCCATTTTCATATCTTCCTTAGAGAAATGATGTGGTATAAAACCTCACAGTCAGTTTTTCTTCTTTTTTGTAATGTAAGTACCTGACTTAAGCTTTGATTGCCAGGCTTCCACTTAGAAGATGATTATTATGAGTAAATACAGCAGCTCCTCAAATAACATTGTTTTGTTGTAAGTTGATGAGCTGCTGTGGGAGCTTAACTCTTGTTTATACCAATTAGCCTATGGTGAAAATGTTTTTTTGTATTTTTTTCTTTTTTGTAATATATATATTTTATTGATGATGCTATTACAGTTGTCCCATTTTTTCTCCCCTTTATCCCCTTTGCCCTGCACCCCCTAGCCCCCCAGCATTCCCCCGCCTTAGATCATGTCTATGAGTTGAACATTTAAGTTCTTTGGCTTCTCCATTTCCTATACTATTCTTAACCTCCCCCTTGTGCCTACCAATTATGCTTCTTATTCCCTGTACCCTTTCCCCCATTCTCCTCCCCTCTCTGATCTCCATTTCTGTGATTCTGTTCCTGTTCTAGTTGTTTGCTTAGTTTATTTGCATTTTTGCTTTTTTTAGGGTCAGTTGTTGATAGTTGTTTGTTGTCATTTTACAGTTTATAGTGTTTGATCTTCATTTTCTTAGGTAAGTCCCTTTAACATTTCATATAATAAGGGCTTGGTGATGATGAGCTCCTTTAATTTTACCTTATCTGGGAAGCACTTTATCTGCCCTTCCATTCTAAATGATAGCTTTGCTGGATAGAGTCATCTTGGATGTAGGTCCTTGCCTTTCATGGCTTTGAATACTTCTTGCCAGCCCCTTCTGGCCTGCAAGGTTTCTTTTGAGAAATCAGCTGATAGTCTTATGGGAACTCCTTTGTAGGTAACTGTCTCCTTTTCTCTTGCTGCTTTTAAGATTCTCTCATTAGCTTTAATCTTGAATAATGTAATTATGATGTGCCTTGGTGTGTGCTTCCTTGGGTCCAACTTTTTTGGGACTCTCTGAGCTTCCTGGGTCTCCTGGGAGTCTATTTCCTTCACCAGATAGGGGAAGTTCTCATTATTTTTTCAAATAAGTTTTCAATTTCTTGCTCTTTCTCTTCCCCTTCTGGCACCCCTATGATTCAAATGTTGGATCATTTAAACTTGTCCCAAGGTTCCTAAACCTCTCCTCATTTTTTTGAATTTGTTTCTTCATTCTGTTCTGGTTGAATGTTTATCTCTTCCTTCTGCTCCGAATCATTGATTTGAGTCCGTTTTCTTCCCTCTACTGTTGGTTGCCTGTATATTCTTCTTTATTTCACTTTGCGTAGCCTTCACTTTTTCCTCCATCTTGCAACCATACTCAGCCAATTCAGTGAGCATCCAGATTAGCAGTGTTTTGAACTGTGCATCTGACAGGTTGGCTATCTGTCCATCGCTTAGTTCTATTTTTGGAGCTTTGATCTGTTCTTTCATTTTGGGCCATATTTCTTTGTTTCAGCTTGCCTGTTTTGTTGGAAGGGGCGGAACCTTAGGCATTCACTAGGGTGGGGCAGCCCAGATTGCTGGGTTTTGATGCTGTATGTGAAGGTGGGGTCCGAGAGGGAACAACGCCAGTTGCTTCCCCCGCTACCCACAAGCAAATTGGGCCCTTCTAGTGCTGATTCTCAGGTGGATGGGTCTGTGTCTATTCTAGGACCCTGTGGGTCTCTCCAATGGACTCTTTCACTGCCACTTCCCCCGCAGGTTTTCACCTCCAGAGGTTTTGAGGCTTTCTTTTCCCGCACTGCAGCCCTGGATTGCTCTGTCTTGCTCCCCAGCTGTTCCTCCGGTTTATCCGCACACAAACGTGGAACCTCCCGGTCTGACAGCCGCTGTCTTGCAGTGCATCCTCTCTGCCCCAGCTGCCTGTCTCCATCCCTTGTCTCTTTTTACTTTTGAACCACAGTAATGTTTTCAATTATTTGAACTAACTGCATACACTTTTTTTCATACTAGAAGCGGCCTCTGCACATTCTGCCTTGTTCTCTCCCCTGAAGTCCTTGAGGACAAGGTGGTATCCTGCTCAGTTTTGAATCTCTCCCATCTCCTAACTCAGGGCTCTCTCTGTGTTCTCAATACAGGTTTGTTTTTGAGTCTGGTGTTCTATTTGAAAGACTGATAGCCCAGGACAAAATTTGAATTCTGAATTATGAAAATCCCAAGGAGAGTGGAATTCAGAAACAGCACATCCTTGATGTTGCAGCCCATGGTACTTTCTCTTATTTGCACTTATTTAACCTCTACTACAGGCAGGCGCTGGAGATAAGCCATAGTCTCTACCCTCACGTGGGTAATGGAGATAAACTGATGTCAACAAAGTCACGGCCAGTCTTTAATTGCACGTAGGAAAGCCGAAGATACCTGTGGTTGCTTACTCCTCTCTCTTCTGATTGCTAGGCCAAAGGCCAGATGGTATCTGCCGTGGTTCACCTCTGCCGAAAGGCCAGGCTCCCTCGGGTGGAGACCTATTGTACTGTGAGCTGTGTGGTGAATTGGAGAGGTGAGACCAGGACAGGCGAGCTATCCATTAGGGTGAGGAAACAGCCTAGCCTGGGTTGTCTTAGATGGCTTTGGAAGCCCAGAAACTTTTTTTCATTTCAGTTTTTATTTTATTGCTTTTAGAGTGAGAGAAGGAAAGAGGGGGAAAAAAAAAAAAAGAAACATTGGTTTGTTTCTTTTTATTTGTGCATTTATGCATTTATACAAACACTTATTTATGCATTCATTGGTTGACTGTATATGCCCTGACTGGGGATTGAACCTGCAACCTTGGTGTATCCGGATGACACTCTAACCAGCTACTCAGCTAGAGCAAGCCCAGGAACTTTCAAAGGAAGTGGATACCATGCAGATTACTTTTAAGTACCTAGGAGAAAGAAAGTCTTCCCTGAAGAGAAGAAGAAAATAATAGAGCTGCAGCACAGACAGCCATTTAAAAAAAGAAATAAAGAAAACAAAAGCAAACCCATATACGAAGTTTATTATGCCAGGTGAGGCTCCAGTCACTGCATGCGCGCGCGCGCGCACACACACACACACACACACACCCTAATATAATAACCTCTGAGTTAATTGCAGAAAAACAATGAAGCACACACACACACACACATCCTAATACAATAACCTCTGAGTTAATTGCAAAAAACAATGAAGCACGCACACACACACACACACCCCCCCTAATACAATAACCTCTGAGTTAATTGCAGAAAAACAATGAAGCCTCCAAGAGGAAGAAGTAGAGATTTTACCATAATCAGCATGGCCCTGTCCTCTGGGCAATACCTGTCCATGTGTGGTGTTAGAAACAGAAGAGGCCTTAGGATTTCTACAGGCAGGTCAAAGGGACACTTGGGGAGAGCTGGCCTTCGCACCCCAGGAATGCTCTTTTCAGAGCTTTTGTGGTCCTTTTTTAGGTCTGCTCTTACATCTATGTAGGACCAAGTCTGGAAACATAGTAAGCTAAGTTCCTCTCTGGAAGAAAGCTTCTTCCTGATCACTCTTTCCAGGCCTCTTGAGAAGAAAGGGCCTTCTTACCATCAGATGGGTAAGAGGAACCTGGGCTTACAACAGCCCTGAAACCCTGCCTGGGATTCCAGCGCTTTCCCAGAAGAAACAGAGCATGTATGTCTTGTAATTTTCCTGAAGGGGCATCAAACCTATGGTCCTGGAAAAAAAGAAAAAAGTAGCATATGGTATAAGGAATGGAGTTTAATGGTGGCACATTCATAAACGTTGCAACAACTCCCAGAACTTGCTTACCCTTGTAAATTTGCCCAGGTGATTGCTAGTTATCTCATTAGACAGTGACACTGAACCTGCCAAATAAGGGAAGAGGGCATTATTTTCTTCCCTTTCGAGGTTGTGTAAGCTAACTCATTCACCCGAGGTCTGATTCCAGAGTTGGGGCTCTTACATGCCACTCTGCTTATACACCTCTTCCTCTGTATTTCTCACTTTTTTTTTCTGAGGGTTCAGTTGTCCCCTTTTGGCCTCTCTTCTGCCTTCTCTCATGGGTTTCCCATAAGCACGCTGACAGCTTAGTGTGCCCTGCCAAGCTGTTTGTAAACCCCAGAGAACTCTGCGTCTTCCTGGGGGAGCCCTCCAAGGCTGCCAGGTGCTTTTGTGGGCCTTTTTGGCAAGGGGCCACTGCAACTGCACAAACCCCAAAAGCTGCTGTCCCATCAGCCCTCTGTGGGTTCGGCAGTCAGGTTCAACCCTGAAAAGCCCCGCTTTGTTGTGATTTTTCTTTGGGGAGAGGAAGCAGCCTGTTGGTTCATGTCCTCCTAAAAGGATATATCAATATTTATGTCCAGACTCCAGGTTTTGGGTCAGTTGATTTTACAGATGTTTTTGCTCAAAATTCATCCAAGTGATGGATCCCACAAGACAAAATCAGTTTTGGGTTGTACTTCTGTAAGGATTTTATTTAAACGCCTCATTGAATACCATTTTTACTGCGATTTGAAAGAACCATCTAAAAAAACTATATAGGACTACACTTAGTTAAACTCTAAGTGTAAATTGTATATATACAATTCCTAGAAAGGAAAAGGCAAGTATAGAAAGGAGGGGGGAAATTTTTAGTTTTCCCTTTTGAGGCAGAGAGGAGATTGCCATTAGACAATTAGACGTTTTGGAAAGACAGTTAATATTTGGACACCAAAGAGAAACGTAGCAATGAGAAGTTGAGGGAAATTTAAAGGCGATCTTTCGGGAGACGCATTCCCAGTTTGAGGCTCAGCTCTTCACGGGCGGCCTAAATTCGACAAAGCAAGGAGCGCGGCCTGGCGCGGCCTGGGAAAGCGCCGGAATCCCAGTCAGGGCTTCACGGGTTAAGGGGCCCTTGTCACATCAGCCGTTCGAAACTCCTCCTCTCGCCTCGAGGTGAAGATATTTGAAAATCACCCCACTGCAAACTCCTCCCCTTACGAGAAACCTCACATTGAAATGCTGCAAAAGACCGGGGCCCGCGTGCAGTCGCCGTCCGGCTGCGCGAAGCCCAAGGTTCCAGCGGGGACACTGCGAACAGGGGACAGCAGCCTGGGCCAGGCCGTTGCTGAGAGCATGAGGCTGTGCTGGTTGGTTGCCCTGCTCCTTGCCGCGGGGGGGGCTGCAGGTAAGGCTGGCCCCAGGCCCCCGCGCGGGATGGGTGAGCCCCCCGAATTCCAGCAGCCCCTCAGTAATTTTTTGAAGAGGGCAGGGAAAAACCACTCCATCTTTGGGAGACGTGGGACAATGGCACAAAGTCCTCCAAAACAGCTGGGGAGAACACCAAGGGGCGCGAGAGTTTGGGGAGGCAGAGGAAACGGGATGCGGCTTTCCCCTTAAGTCCCGTCGAATGGGGATTCCCCTTGTCTCCCGCGGACCCAGGCACGGGATCTCCAGCAGTGGGGAAGCAGGACCCCCCCCTCCCACAGTTATTCTATGAGCGAGGGTCACCCTTAGCTCGGCTGCTCAGCCTAGAAGTCCCTGTGAGTGCTTCCCCGAGCACGCCCGCAGGGAGGAGTTACCGAGGCGGCCAAGTCGACTTTGTGCTGCTCGAGGGTGCCGCTAGCTCTCGGAGCCGAGCGGAAGGAATCCTATCCATTCACTGCCTGCGCACTTCTGCCCACGGCCAACGCCCCCCACCCCGCCCTCCGTTCCGCCCCCGAGCTTCCATTGGGCGTGATTCAAACAGGCGAGCTGCGAGCCTCTCCCTTTGGCCTATGGGAGGCGGTGACTGTAGAGGCGCGCGGTGTGGGGCGGGGCTTGCGCAGGATTCGCGCCGCACCTCGTTCTGAGTGAGGCGGCCGGAATCTCTCGCTCGGGTCCTGGTTTGCTATCACAAAGGAGACGACGCTCCCCGGACCCCTGCAGCCGCCTCTTGGAGCATGGACGGGGGGCCCGCCGAGCGCCTAGTTCCCCACGGCGAAGGCCGCGGTTTCCTCCTTGATTTGTGCCCAGGCCTTCGCCCCTACTTTGTCTTCAAGGCCGCCCTCGCTTCTCCCGCCTGGGACACGGCATAGAAGTACCTCTGGGCCACCTTCAGGGGCTGGATTCATTCTGAAGCGGAAACGTTTCCTAAGAAACGCCCGCCCCTCCTCGGTCGAACGGGAATGGCAATTAGGGGCGGGGCGGGGACTGGGAGGATGTGACACCCGACGGACCCTCGGAGTTGCGTTGTTTGTTCACAGGCTCCAAGTGGGTTCAGTTGAACTGTCTGTGTGACGATTTTTCACTTTAGGGGGTTTCAGATTTAGATTTGGGCAAGATGCTAGTTGGTACAGGATCTCGAGTGGCTTTAAATGAGCTGCCAGAGGCATTTGACCTTGCCGGATAATAGATGAACATAGTTTTTTTTACTACGTACAGCCAACTCAACCCATAAAAGGATCGGGGTTACTTGACTAGCAGGATTGCAGGAAGTGTTGAACTCTTGGGATCCCTACCTGGGACACAGGGATTACCGATGGGAGGGGAGAAAGGGAGGCACCAATAGGTTGCAGACACCTCAGAGGACTAGTGTAATAATTCAGCCACCAATTGTGAAGTGGAGGGAGCATGGCTTGGTCAAGAGACACTTGATTAACCTGGATTTCACACGCGGATGGACTCGTTCCCCAGGAGGAAATAATGGCAGTAAAATCTTGAGCAAGATGTGTTCCTTGCTTTTTAGTTTTCTCTCCCACTGTGTGGCTGGGGATCTGATGTATCTCCTGTTCTCAAGGCCTTCATCCCCGCTTTGTCTTCGAGGTCGTCCTTGTTTGGCCAGCCCAGAACATGTCACAAACGTGCCCCTTGGCCATCTGAGTCCTAATGTTTTCCCCAGACCCCTAGGAACTGGCAGCTACCTCTCTCCAGTGCAAACACGATGCTGTAGCAGCCCTGGTTGCTCCAGCTTGCTCCTTGTCTGCCTTCAAAGCATTTCAGGTGGGGTGGGAGGATTTCTTGTCCGTTTCCTTTGGAAATGAAAGTAGCCAGAATCGACTGCAGGCAGATCAGAATCCCTTGACAGCTGTCCGACAATGGAACAAAGGTGTAATGGCTGCTGTAAGGAAAAGGTATCTTAAGATCGACAAAGCAGGCAATTCCATAGAATATCACAGAATCTATTTACTTGCAGGGAAATTGGGTCAGAGTGAAAGAGACAACCCAGCAGATCTGTGCAAGGTATTCTCTGCTAAAGACTCCTGTTACTATACCTTTTTTAATATTATAACTCAGGTACTAATGATTGATAAGAACAAGGGACAAAGAGTGCAGTAGTTCCAGGGGCCATGCATCCTAGTGGTCCATACTAGCATTATTCATCTGATGGTCATCCTGGTTATTACTAACAAAAGTGTTTATGTTTAGATTTTAAGGAACACAGATACTCATTAACTAGAAGGATCTGATATGCTTACTAAGGGCAGAGAGTTTGGTCAAAGGTCATAGCATGAAAGGACACAAAGAGGGAGATGTTTTTTTGTTGACATCTACCTCTGTGTAATGGTTGTGTGTGAAGTATCAAGTATGTGAAAGATACACTCAAACTCAGAGAAAACACAGTATCCTGTTAAGAGCTGTAGCTGCTTTAGCAACTTCCTCCAGGGCAACAATGGAAAAAGATAGGGAGAGCTTTTCTGAGATTGCAAACCTTTAAGGGGATTATGTGCCTCATTCTTTCTTCCCAGGTTAGTCCTGCTCTATCTGTAGGTTTCCTCCCCTGATAAGATTAAATTCTAGGGACCTTTGTTATTGGGTGCTTTGATGGTCTGTTCACATTCCATGTTAAGTACATTAATAACACCCACACTTTGCCCAGCTGTCAAGCAAGTGACCATTTGTTGCTAAGACACTGCGGAAGTAACCAGCAGTGAACACTCCCCACTCCCCAAAATTGCTGACAGCAAAATCTATTGTTGAGATCATTCCTGGGGAAAACACCTTGGCATCCAAGTTTGGAAAACAGCACTGGTAAATTGAATTCTCATTCATTTTCAGCTGAGACTATTAGCTCCAGCCATTTCTTTTTTCTAGGAAATGATTCTATCTACAGTTTTGATGTCTCTTACCACAGCTTTCTTTGATGTGAGAAATGTCCAAAGCTGCAGAACATTTTCATGTGATCATTTGAGCCAAAATGATGGCAATTGTTGGGAAGCAAAATCTCAACAGATTGAAAAAATGTTCTGGAAAATTGCAGTTTTGCAGCTTATTTTATATATTAGAATCAAAGTAGGAAGTATAAGGAGGGTTACATGAAATCCATTGGTGGATTAAGGGAGCAGGAAAAAGCAAAGTGGGGGAAATATCTGAGACTGGATAAGGAGTAAACCGGAGAGACACATACTTCTTTCACATAGGTGGGTACAGGATAGTTAACAACAAACATTTATAAAACATAGTTCAGGGAACAAGATAACAATGAAGGGTTCTGTGATCTCATGCTGTGGTGCAGAAGTTGTGCCCCAAGAGGTCTGGAAAAGATTACTCTGATTTTTCAGAGCTATGTTATCTTAGATGCAAAAGGACAGTACACAAGTTCCCTTAAGGTAAAAACTGATCTTTATCAAGCAAGCTACAGGCCTAGGATGCGACTACCCACCATGACCCACTTTTAGTTAGGAGTTTTTATGTTTAGACCACCCTATGTGGTTAATTTCAGTCTCTGAGTTTGTAAGCCCACCATGCTGGCCTCCCTTGAGCTTGTCAGGTTTAGTAAGTAGCCGGTTTCTTGTCCAAAAGTAGCATGGGACAGCAAACATCAAAGGCGTTTATTTACTACCTCATTTGTGTGCTGGAGAAAAAGCAGAAATGCGTATTCTCCTTTTCTGTTTTGATAACTAGGTTTCTGATTTGTCACTCATAACAGGAGAGGTTTAAGGTCTAGAATTTGAGATATTTGGGGTGGGGGTAGGGGTGGAGTCAATGTTTATATAATTTTAGGCATTCCCAGCAGGAGGAGATAAGGAAGTGTGTACTCCCTTTTGTTTTTGCTGAAATTTAAATGAAACTGACAAGGGAAACCTAAACCTTCCTTCTGCCATGGGGAGGAAACAAGACAGATGCAGGGTTCCTTCTTGCTGTGGTGTTTAGAACAGAACTAGTTCTGTCCCCTTATTCTGGATGGTCCTGTCTGCGGTGGGGACACCCATCTGACAGTGCTGTTAATTAGTGCTCCCTGTTTCTGATTGCCACCCACACCAGCAAGACCCTGGGACTGACTTCGCAGCCAACTGCTGTCTGGCTGCACCTATAACAATAAAATCCATCCGCTTTTCAAACATTGCCTGGGACTGATGACCAGCTGTTGAATGACCTGCTCTGATAGAAATAGGTAATAGTGGGGTTTTATTGTTGGTGAGGTCTTTGGCTATCTGTAACTAGCAAATACTGGGAGTACTGTTACCAGGTGAAAGCTTGATGTCCAGGAAAGGGGTTTATTGTTTTTTATCGTTATACTTCTTTTTTTTAAAGTATTTTTGTTTTGTTTTTTTTAGAGAGAAGGGAAGGGATAGAGAAAGAGGGAGAGAGACATCAGTGTGTGGTTGCCTCTCGCATGCCAACTACTGGAGACCTGGCCCACAACCCAGGCATGTGCCCTGACTGGGAATCACAGGCCAGTACTCCATCCACTGAGCCACACCAGCCAGGGCTATCTTTATACCTCTTTAAAGGGCCTTAAGATATTAGTATTTCCAGTGGCACCTCTTGTTTGTAAGATAGGTCCTTGTGCCAAAGTGGGGCAGCAAGAGCATTAGCAGTATGGATGAAAAAGTAGTTCCATAGAAAGTAAACTCACAGGATGTTCTGACCATTAATTCCGAGCAGGCCATGGTGGGTAGTCACACCTCGGAAGGGAAACTTCTTTAGTAAAAGGCCTATCTTTGTCTTAAGCAAGCCCTGTCCACTGTTTTCTGGGCGTCTAGGTTAGCACACCTTTGAAGTAAGCTGTAACCACCCTCAGGAAAGCACAGAAACTTGACTGTCCTGTAGTCCAATTCTCATCTTGCTCTCTTCCACCTTCACATAATTTCCCTTCCGTTCTCTCCTTGACCTCAAATTCATAAAAGAAAATGCAAAACCATCAATTCTGCAGAGCATTTAAGATCTCACTTCCTGACACTTGTCAGTTTGGCTCAAATAAACTCCTACAAAAATTCTCCACAGGTTTGGGCGTTCTTTCGTCCGCCATAACCAAAGCTTTGAGCGCAGGGGCTGTCGGGGATGACAGATGCTCCTCCTCCAAGACCCTTATTACCAGGGCCTCTTGCCAGAACTTCCTTTTTAGGTTTTTGGGTTTTTTTCCCTGAGATTCCTCAAATTCCAGTTGCTTTTTGTCCACCCTGTGTGCCAAGAGCAGGAAGAAGCGACATTTCCTCCTTTCGGCGTGATTACCATTATGATTCAGTTGTGAGTCACCGGGGTGTATTGCAGAGGCATCTCCAGAAGAGACATCCTGTTATGATCCGTGGTTGGGCAATACAGTTATTAGTGCCTGACAGCAGATTCCAGAGCTCAACTCACTCCCTTCCCTATTCACCAATGCCCTCTCTCATCTCCTACTCGGCTCTTTGTCACCTGGGCCTTGTAAGTCACACTTTCCAAGTTCTGTTGATTCTTCAAATCACTCTTTCTGTTTATCTCTTTATCGCCTCTATTTTCCTTTGGGGCCCCCTTATATCTCTCCTGTTCTCACCAGAGTAGTTTCCTAATCTTTGGCAGGAGCATTGGAATCGAACTTTGAAGACCCAGAGGTTTTATTTATTTTTTTAACTGTGGTATAATTAACATACAATAAAATGGCCAGATATTAAGTGAACGACAGTTCAGTGAGTTTTTATCAACATCTGTTTCCATGTAATCATCTCCTATTTGGTACAGGCTATTCCTAGCTTCCCAGAGTTTTCTTGTGCCCCTTTCTCTAATTTAATTACTCCCCCACCCCGAGGGAACTGCTAATCAGAGTCCTATAATGGATTTGTTTTGCCTGAACTAGAACTTCACATAAATGCAGAGTACATACCCTTGAACAAAATGTTCAGCAAGTCATCTGTGTTGACACGTTTATCAGCTATTTGTCCTTTTTTATTGCAAAGTCCTGTCCCATTGGATGAACACATCACCCCCCTGTTTTTAAGCTGAGTTTATCATGTCAGCACCTGGGCAGCACTCTATTTTTATTTTTATTTTTACTTTTATTTTGATGCTGTGCCTCCTCCTCATGGTTTCGGGTGCTCCACATGTTCAGAGAAACTTCTCTAGTCATAAACTATAGAAGTGATCTCTGAAAGAGCCCTAATCTTTGCATAGGGCTCTTTTTTTGATCCGATCTCTAATCCTCACAACATTCTCTTACAAATAGGGACCAAGCTTCTCACTTATTTTACAGACAAGCAAACTGAGATCCAGAAGGATTAAGTCAGTTGCCCAAATCCGTCTAGTTAAGTGGCACAGAGCCATTTATACCCGGGTGTGTCTAACCAACTCATACCCTGCCTCTCAAATCCAGCACAGAAGTGCTAGGGATACCATCAAAGTAGACACGAAAAGACTCCCTTCCACGGATTCCTTTGCCAGGAATGCCAGATCAGATTTCTCCCTCTGTCCACATATTTGAGAGCTCAAATACATACATAGTGTAAGTAAATGAGTAAAAATTAAGTAAAATGTTATGTTTTAAAAAGTAATTTTTATGCCCTGGTTGAGTGGCTCGGTTGGAACAATGTCCTGTGCACCAAAAAGGTTGCGGGTTCGATCCCTGGTCAGAATACATATCTAGGTTCAATTGCAGGTTCAATCCCCCAGTCAGAGCAAGTGCTGAAGGCAGCTGACCAATGTTTCTCTCTCTCTCTCTCTCTCTCTCTCTCTCTCAATCAATAAAAACATCCCTGACCCATGTGGCTCAGTTGGTTGTGCATCGTCCCGCAAAGCGAAGGGTTGCCATTTTGATTCCCAATCAGAGCATGTGCCTGGGTTGCAGGCAATCCTGAAAACTGATGCTTTTCTCTCACTTTGATGTTTCCCTCCCTCCTTTCCCCTCTCTCTAAAAATAAATAAATAAAATATTAAACTAAATAAATAAAATCAATAACAGCATATCCTTGGGTAAGGATTGAAAAAAATAAGATAAATTAACTTTTGCAAGAAAAAGCAACCCAAATGTTTAATTGTGCTCCACAGACTCCAGGAGAGTGAAAGACGATCTTTTTTGCAAGGTCCTCCAAAAGCCCTAAAAATGCAGAACATTCCTTGGCAGCTGGAATCAGGTCATAGAAAAATTATAACCCATCTTACCTTTTCTTGGCATCTTATGGCTCTAGAAAAAGCCTGTCTGCCTCATGTGTAAAGATAATATACTCTGGGCAGTGCAACAATTTCCTGAGGTAAGCCGGAGGAGAGTAATAAAGTATAGCAAACAGTGTCCCATTCTCCAGGAAGGTGGTTTTCAAACTGGTGGGTGTTTAAAGAGAATATCCAGTTGGTTTGAGTGTTGTCCTGATATGCCAAGATTGTGGGTTTGATTCCCGGTCTGGCCACATATAAGAATCAACCAATGAATGCCTTAGTAAGTGGAAAAACAAATCAATGTTTCTTTCTCTCCCCACCCCCTCGCCTGCCTTCTTCTCTCTCTAAAAATCAATAAATATTTTTTTGTAATTTAAAAATCAATTGATGAAATGAAAAGCCTTCTTAATCCTCTTACAAGGATAATAAAACATATAAGTGATATAGCTATATATAAAAGCTTCTATTTTACACATTATTTGCCTACAGAACATCCGATTCATAAGGAAAATTTTGCCAACTGCTTTTAGTGGTTTTATCTTATTTCCTTATTTATTCCATATAAAGCATGCTGAGATAAGATCAGAATTTTTTTTTTAAAGATTTTATTTATTTATTTTTAGAGAGGGGGAGGGAGAGAAACATCAATGGGTGGTTGCCTCTTGCTCGGCCCCCGCTAGGGACCTAGCCCACAGCCCAGGCATGTGCCCTGACTAGGAACCGAATCAGCGACCCTTTGGTTTGCAGGCTGGCATTCAATCCACTGAGCGAAACCAGTCAGGGCTCAGATCAGAATTTTTATTGCCCTCATTGTTTTAGTTTATATAGGAAATCAAAGTTTATACTTCAAGCTTAAAAGATTATTATCAGAGTTGCCAACTAAGAAAAGTTGGCTTTCATTCCAGTTTATACATATCAATATATTTTATTTATTTTTTAAAGATTTTATTTATTTATTTTTAGAGAGAGAGAGGAAGGGAGGGACAAAGGGAGGTTAAGAAACAGCAATGAGAGAGAGAAACATCAATTGGTTGCCTCTCGTATGTACCCCAGTGGGGGACCAAACCCAAAACCCAGGCATGTGCCCCGACCAGAATTGAACTAGAGACCTTTTGCTTTGCACCCAAACAGATGAACCTGTTAGGGCTCAATATATTTTATTTTTTTAAATATTTATTTAGAGAGAGGAAGGGATGGAGAAAGAGAGGGAGGGGAACATCAATGTGTGGTTGCCTCTCACAAGCCCCCTTCCTACTGGGGACCTGGTCCACAACCCAGGCATGTGTCCTGAGTGGGAATCAAACCAGCAACCCTTTGGTTCACAGTCTGGCGCTCAGTCCACTGAGCCACACCATCCAGAGCTCAATACCTTTTAAATTATAGCATAATATCCAAAATGAAATTTAGTCAATATAATTTTGATCTCTTTTCCAAGGTGCAAAAATCACATATTTAGCCCTGGCTAGTGTGGCTCAGTTGGTTAGAACATTGTCCTGTAACCAAGGGTTTCAGGTCCAACCCTCGGTCTAGGCACGAATGAAAGGGAACCAATCAATGTTTTCCTCACATCAATGTTCTCTCTCTCTCTTCCTCTCTCTCTAAAAGCAATTTAAAAAAATGTCCTTGGGTGAGAACTTAAACAAATTGAATAAAATCATGTATTTAAGGATATTTCCCAAAAACTCCAAACACTTACTTCATCTGATTCTTTTTTTAAAATTTTGAGAGTGTGTTTATGAAAAGCCAGGGATGCTGACATAAAGAAGGGCTTAGTATAGAAGAAGCAACAGGCGAGCCTAGGCTGGGCTGCCTCAGCTCACTGGGAAGTGAGAGAAAAGGAGGCCTGGGAGGCAGGTTTAAGGGGTTAGCCTGGGATGAGCTACCACTGCCCGCTGCTCCCCTGGTTGCAAGTCTCATGAGGCCCCTTAGAGTTTATTAGATGTGTACCTGTGTGGGGAAGAAGTGGGGGAAGGGAAAGGCACTGCATACTCCCGGGAGTGAGAATGCATTACTTCGTCTTCATTTTTATCTAAAAATCTGAGTCTCTTTTTTTCTAGGAAAAGTTTTCTCCTATCACATTTAAGCCTACTGTTTCTGTTCCATTTCTTTGACTTTACATTCAGATGTTTGATTATCTTTAATGCTGGGGCTCTAGAGGCTCTCTGACTTCCACATTAATAATTTATCATAACTTTTCTATTTCCATTCTACTTACTGGAGAAAGCTCCTCCAGTTTTAATGCTTTGGCAGTGTCAGTTTTCATCAGTACTGTTTCCGCTGCAGGTTGATAATATGCTAAATAATTTCCTTTACTGATGTGCATGAAACTTCTCTAATATTTTGTCCCCAGATCCCAATGGATTCATATTTTAAACTCAACAACCATTATGTCAAAGCCTTACATTGTTGACAAGTCTCACTTTTAGATGTGTTTTGCACTCTCCGCTGTACTTTTGGCTCATGAAACTTAAGTTGTTGTGCATGTTTCATTTCCTGGGAACCGCACTGTTACCGTAGGGGTATAGGTTGTGTGGTCAGCTTCTAACCTTGGCATTGAAACTTTCTTCCCCTTTCCTTCTCTCTTAGTGGAAAACAAATGTGAAAGAAACGAGTTCCAGTGCAAAGATGGGAAATGCATATCCTACAAGTGGGTTTGCGACGGGAGTCCCGAGTGCGATGATGGCTCTGATGAGTCCCAGGAGACGTGCAGTGAGTCTCCTTTGGGTGTGACACGCATCCAACCCTTTCTGATGATTGCAGGAAACAAATGAGGTGGATTTTGGACATTAGGTTGATATAGTCAACAATGGATTGGAAGATGGGGAGCAAAGATATTACTAAAACTTCCCTTGAACAGCCCTAGAGAGAGGGGAGGGGAGGGAGAAAGAGGGAGAGAAACATCAGTTGCTTATCCTATGTCCCCACCCAGGGACCTGGCCTGCAACCCAGGTATGTGCCCTGACCAGCAGTGACCTTTTGGTTTGCGGGACAAGGCCCAAACAACTAGCCACACCGATCAGTTTTTTGTTTGTTTGCTTGTGTTTTTAAAGATTTTATTTATTCTCAGTGAGAGGGGATGGGAGGGAGAGAAACATCGATGTGAGAGAGAGAGACATCAGCTGCCTCTCACACACCCCCAACTGGGGACCTGGCCCGCAACCCAGGCATGTGCCCTGACTGGGAATCAAACCAGTGACCTTTTGGTTCACAGGCCAGCGCTCAGTCCACTAAGCCACACCAGCCAGGGCTATTTTTTTTTGTTTTTCAATTGAGGTGCAATTCACACAACACAAAATTAACCATTTTAAAATGACTAGTTGAGAGTAGCATTAATACATTCACAATGTTGTACAACAACCACCTTTAGCTCATTACAAAACCTAGCATCTAATTTTTAACAAGCTCCATTAAATTTTGATCCAGAAAGGTGGGATTTCTGAAAACTCCAGATTCTTCCTTGCACAGCTGAGACCGATGAGGCAGATTGGCCTTCCCTTTGAGTTAAAACTCAATCCTGTTTCTCCCAGTGTCTGCCACCTGCAAGTCCGAGGACTTCAGCTGTGGGGGTCCTATCAACCGCTGCATCCCTCAGTTCTGGAGATGTGACGGCCAGCTGGACTGCGAGAACGGCTCGGATGAGCAAGACTGTCGTAAGTGTGGCCCGCGTGCCAGGGTGGCCGTGAATGTGGCTTACCTGGGTTCTGGGCCGCTAGCAGAATTTGTTCCCTCGCAGCCCTACCTGAAAGTGTGGGTCTGCTGCCCCACCTCCTGGGGATTTGTACTAAGCCCCCTCTCGCCCATTGAAACCCACCTTGACTAGACGGCATCGCAGCAGGTGGTGATGTGCCCCTCTTAGCACACTCAGTGAAGTTGTTCTTGCTGAATGTCCGCCACGTGGCACACCCTTCGGTCAGTGAGCCACTGTGACCACCGTCAGCCACCCCAGGAGGCTAAGCACACAGTAGTACTCACCCACCAAGACTCGCTCATCCGACTAGCCACTAAGGGGGGGAAAGCTTCACCAAGCTGAGGCTTCTACAAAGACACAAGGCCAAGAGTCCTGGAGAAGAGTTCACTTTGGAGCTGGGTGTCTGTCTTGGCTCTTTGATTTTAGGTATTATTATTATTATTATTATTGGCTTTTTTTTAAAATAGTGTAGTTTTTAATTTTTAAATGGTGGAAGGCTAACAAAAACAAAATGGAAAAAAATTAAGTAACTAAGATGACATGAAATCTTTAAGTTCACAAAATATAAAAACCCTTAAGAGATTTTTAAAAAAATAACAAAATGGGTTTACTTACATTCACCTTAGAAATAGACATATAACTGTCATAGGTGGTCATTTGATGAAACAACTTCTTAGAGAATATTTTGAAGTAAAATGGTTAGGGGGTCTTTTCCAGGCACTCTTTTTTTCCTCCAGTTTCACTGAGACATCATTGACATGTATCGTTGTGTGAGGGTAGGGTTTGGAGGTGGCTGTAGCTCTAGGATGATAAACGCCCCTCCCACCGTCAAATCATTCTCCCTGTTCCAAAGCGAGAAGATCACCATTAACAAGGACACAAAGGTACCCGATGCCTGTTTGTTCACCATCAACAAAGACAGCCATACACTAGGAAACGTTATTAAATCACAGCTGTTGTTGGGCCCACCAGTGCTGTTTGCTGGCCACAAAGTCCCCTACCTCTTGCAGCACAAAATTATCTGTGTGCAGACCACACCAGACTACAGCCCCCAGGGGGCCTTCACCAGGCGCATCATAGACCTCATCAGCAAGCTCATCCTGTGGGAAGAGCGATTCCAGGCGGCCATCAAAGAAAAGCAAGAAGGAAGTGAACAGTAGGCTGGAAGGAGTCTTATTTGGCCAGTTCCTACCTTGCACCAGGCCCCCCTCCGGGCATCAAGTGGAGGAGAGCGGCTTCTCCCAGACGTGGGCCTCCCTGGAGAGCCCCTCATCCCCTGACACTGATATGACTCATACACAGATTCTGTTTTGTCTTCCTAATAAAGTGTAGCAGGAAAAGACCTGATGTGAGCTGAAGCCGAGCTCGCGGCAAGCAGGTTGTCGGACTTAGGGGCGGTGGATTACCTGTCTCAAGCCACACACTGGGGCCACATTTCAGGGTGGATGGGCCCAGACATCCAGATTTCTATCTGAGAGGGTGGCAGAAACAAACCTGTTCCGGACCAGCACCTGGGAATCTGGGGGGCTTCCTGGGAGGCAGTCTTGAGCAGAAGGGGACCAGACACCTGTGCACCTCCGTGAGTCTCTGCCATGGAAGCTTTCGCTGCCAGGTCAGCCTGTCTTGCTCAGTGTAACAGCCCTAGATGAGGCCCACAAACAATGTTCCCTGGCTTCCACTGTATAATGGAGAGTTCAAGAAAAATATTCACCGATTAAAACAAACAATGACAAAATCATTGTGAAAGTTTAAATAGTACGACGTGATGTTTGATACACATTTGGCCCTCTGTGATAGCAGGTTTCACCTCTGTGGATTCAACCAACTGCAGATTGAAAATATTGGAAGAAATTCCAGAATGTTCCAAAAAGCAAAACTTGAATTTGCTGCATGCTGAGAACTATCCTGAATTTACCCAAATGAAATGACACATTAGGCATAACCTACTGTGGCCTATATACAATATAGGTTATATGCAAATATAGGTGTTTCACAAATACAAATATATAAGGGACTCTATTAAGCCTTCTTGGGTTTTGGTATGTGGAACCAACTCACCCTGCCCCCAGGACACTAAGAGATGATTATATTGTGAAAGGATTACCACAGTTGGGTTACTTAACACTTCCATCAACTCACACAATTATCTTTTTTGGGTGTGGGGGGGTGTCTTTTAATAATAATAATAATAGTAACAACAAACCCTTAATTAGTGCCTCCTTAGTGCCGGCCCAACCTGAGAGCTTACGCAGCAGTCCTCATAACACTGCTCTGAGGCACAGGGGGTCCCAGGGTGGAGCTGAGGTTCCCTGGCCGCTCCCCCTCCTCTCAGCGTCCCCATCTGTGGAATGGGCTGGTTTTGAGGGACAGGGGCTCCCCGTGACCCGGTTTTCCCATCGGTCCCCACAGTCCCCAAGACCTGTTCGGAGGAGGAGTTCCGCTGCCACGACGGGAAGTGCATCGCCTCAGAGTTCGTCTGCGACTTCGACAGAGACTGTCTGGACGGCTCCGACGAGGCAGCCTGCCCCGCGCCCACCTGCGGCCCCGTCAGCTTCCAGTGCAACAGCTCCACCTGCATCCCCGAGCTGTGGGCCTGCGACGGCGACCCCGACTGCGATGACGGCTCCGACGAGTGGCCGCAGCGCTGCGGGGGCCGCAACACGTGGGCCCAGCTTGTGCCCAGCCCCTGCGCGCGCCTCCAGTTCCACTGCCGCAGCGGGGAATGCATCCACTCCAGCTGGCACTGCGACGGCAGCGCCGACTGCAAGGACAAGTCCGACGAGGCCAACTGCAGTAAGGGCGCGGGGGGCTGCCCCCTCCCCCGGCCCCGTGCTCCCCCACGTGTGGGGCTGGTGGTGCCTCTAGGTGGTGAAACGATTTCAAATCACTGGCCTGTTCAGCTCATTACTTTTTTGAGAGGAGAGTAAGCCACAGCTCCAGAATTATTTCGGTTCCGAAAGAGCCCTGGGCTCCAGGCCCGGCTGGTGACGCGGGGCTGCGTGGCCCTCAGCCAAGGGCTCACCCTCACCGCTCGGTGGCGTCCTGCCCTGTAGAGTGGGGTGACGGCGGGGCCGCCGCAGGCCCGGATTCGAGTCCGATGCCGCCCGTAGAACCTTCTGCGGCGGTGGAGGATCCTCCTGCGTCTGCGCTGCCCAGCGTGGCAGCCACGGGCCAGTGTGTGCAGTGCAGCTGAAGAACAGACTTTTATTTCATTTGATGATTATTTCTGTTCTTGTTGTTTCTTTTCCAAAGCTTTGTATTATTATTTCATTTGAATTAACCAAATGTTAAATCGCTGCATGTGGTTGGCAGCTCCTGCCGTTGCCTGCCGTGCGGGCAGAGGCGGCCCGCCTAAGCCAGTGCGCCTTAAACCCTCAAGCCTGTAAGTCGAGGTCAGCGGTGTAGAACCACTGTGAATCCAGAAGGCATTTTCTTCTTTTTAAAAAAGATTTTACTTATTTGTTTTTAGAGAGAGGGGAAGGGAGGGAGAGAAACATTGATCAATTGCCTCTCCCAAGGGTACAGAACGCACAACCCAGGTGTGTGCCCTCACCGGGAACCCAACTGAAGACCCTTTGCTTTGGAGAATGACTTCCAACCAACTGGACCACACGGGTCAGGGCTGACTGTTACTTTTTTTAATGCATAGATATACATATGGTTTAAAAATAGGGTCTTTCCCTTTTTACATAGTATGTCACATCAGAGCAAGTACCCACTTGAACATACAGAGCTCCACAGATGTGCATATATTTTTTTAAAGTGGAAAGGTGATCATTTTGCTCACAGATTTAATGTCTCTTCTCGCTGACATCCTGATGTCAAATTTTTAAATTGCGTACATTTTTATTGTGAAATGGAGCCCACAGGAAGGTGTGTACATCATAAACATAGAGCTTAACGGCTTAGCATAAAGCAAATCCTGTGTGAGGTCAAGGTCTGGACCACAGCCAGCAGCTCCCTATTCTGTCACCATGTGTGTCCTGAGTTGTAATCCCTTTTATCACACGGCCTCGTGTCATTCACATTTTCCATGTTTGAGGTCTTAGTCATTTGAACGGCTTGCATCGACTCGGTGGTACTGATCTGAGTTACCATGATTCACTCGGCCTGCCTCTGTCTAGACTGGGATCGTTTTTCTGCTGAGAAGGGCTTGTTGGGTCTGTAGTTTTTAAATGAATCGTGTGATCTGAAAATGCATATGAGGCAGAACTGGAGAGAAGTCTAGGAAATACCTTAATGGTTGTGGTGGAACACTTGGATTCCGGGCACTTTCCTCTCCTTTCCAATTTTCCGAACTTTGCTTTGCTACTTTAGTAATAATATTCCATAATTCTTCTCCACTAAGGAAAAAAAGTGCTTATTGCCGTAAAAGAAAGAACATCTTTTAAAATCTACATTGGGTTCCGTTTGAGAATACCAAGACAGTACCTGGGGAGTTTTCCCGATGGGGGGAGGAAGGCCACCTGTTTCCCCTCTTTCCTGCTCCAAGAAGCAGATGCAATGGATGAGCTGCTGTCTTCTGCTGGTGGAGGAGGCTGGGGGTGGTTTTTTGTGTGTGCGTCTAAACCTCCTTCATCTCCATGCTGTTCCCGAGGCCCAGGATAGCTGACTTCTGTTAGGCTGTCAGAAAATTGTTTCTTCAAAGGTGAGGGTTCTTTCGTCTTCGCCTCTCCTGAGAAAAATCAACACTTGTTCTGTGTTTGCCAGCTGTGGTCACATGCCGGCCTGACGAGTTCCAGTGCTCAGATGGGACCTGCATCCACGGCAGCCAGCAGTGTGACAGGCAGTATGACTGCAAGGACAGGAGTGATGAGCTTGGCTGCAGCAACGGTGAGCTCTGTGCCTTGAGAGCCCTCGGCCGTGGGGGGGGGGGGGGTACAGGGGTACAAGCAGCATGGATCCCAGACAGGGACAGAGGCTCCCAGGGCAGTCCCACACCCGCTGTGTGTCCTTGGGCAAGTTACTTGACCCCTCTGATCTGAAAAAGTGTGCATAACGAAAGCACCTACCTGAGGACTGTGAGATTTAGTGAGGTCAAATTGTGTGAAGCTCATAGCTTTAAGCTCAGAGTTATACGCACAATACAATTCCGCGTAAAAGACATTCCTGAATTTAGGACACAGCAATTCCGCTCCTGGGAGTGACGCCAGGAGAAACTCGCACCCACGCACTAGGAACCAGGCTCCGGAACGTGCAGAGCAGCACTGTGCTAACAGCAAAACGCTGGAAGCAGCCTGGGTGTTCATCCACAAGACAATTAATTTAAAACATTTTAATTGTGGTAACACGCACATAACATGAGGATAATTCTTTTTAAATTTTCATTAAGGCATTTTGAGACTGAAACAATTTAGTGAACAAAAAGTTAAATTCCGGTAAAGAACTATCTTTTTTTTTTTAATTGTGGTAAAATACGCACAACATCAAATTTACCATCTTAACCACTTTTTAAAAGATTTTATTTATTTATTTTTAGAGAGAGAGAAAGAGGGAGAGAAGTATCGATGTGTGAAAGAAACGTGATTAGGTTGCCTCTCGCACACCCCTAGCTGGGGACTGGGCTCTTAACCCAGACATGTGCTCAAACCAGAAATCTAACCGGAAACCTTTTGGTTCTCAGGCCGATGCTCAATCCACTGAGCCACACCAGCCTGGGCTTAACCATGTGTAAGTGCCCAGTTTGGTGGCATTCTGCACATTGACACTGTTGTGCAGCCGTCCCCACCATCCGTCTCCAGAACTTTATCTTCCCAAACTGAAACTCTGCCCTTAATAAACACTAAGTCCCCTCTCCCAGCCCTTGACACCCACCATTCTGTTTTCTGTCTCTGTGAATTTGACTTCCCTCGGGTAGAAGTGAAATCATATAGTATTTGTCCTTTCGTGACTGACTTATTAATGCCCTCCAGATTCATCCACTTTGCGGCATCTATCAGAATTTCCTTCCTTTTTAAGGCTGGGTAATATTCCACTGTAGGGATGGGCCACGTTGTGTTTATCCGCTTATCAGCTGATGGACACTTGGGTTGCTTCCATCCTTGGCTATTGTGAATAATGCTTCTATGAACATGGGTGTATGAGGATAACATTAAAATGACGACGTAGTCACACAGTGGAATATCAGTGATACAGCTCAGAAAATGAGGCCACAGCCCTCAGCAGTAGCTCAGGTGAACTTCATAACTTCAGGACTGAGGGCAAGAAGCAAGTTGAAGGAGATTACTGAATATATTTATTTTACAAGACTCAGAACTAAACAAAATTCAATCATATATTCATTCATATGTATGTGATAGAACTATTAACGAAAAAATAAGGGAATGGGAAACCTGAAGTTCAGGATCAACCTCCAGGGTGCAGCTGAGGGCAGCAGAAAGGGACGGATGAGGGCGTCTGACACTCTCGGGCACAGGTCTGCAGACCGTCACCATCTAAAGCCAGACAGTAAATATTTCCAACTCAGGGGCCGCAGTCTCTGTTGCATCTACTCAGCTCTGCTATTACTTAGAAAATAGCCACAGACAGTGTGTAAATGAATGGGCTGCGCTGCATGCCAATAAAACCTTTAATACTTAAATATTTGAATGTTTAAATAAACAGGCAGTGGATGGGTTTGCCACGGTTCATAGTTTTCCCACCCGCGCTCTTGGTGACATTCTAAGTCTTAAACTGCATTCACAGATGTTCAATAATTGTTATGTTTCATTGGTGAATACAAGATTATATAGCTTGCATAAGTTATCATATTCTTAAAAAGTACTAAACAGGAGCGTGCCGCTCAGAAGACCCTGACCCTCTTCTTTGGCTCTCGCAGTGACGCTGTGCGAGGGCCCCAACAAGTTCAAGTGCCACAGTGGCGAATGCATCACCCTGGACAAAGTATGCAACTCGGTCCGGGACTGCCAGGACTGGTCGGATGAGCCCCTCAAGGAGTGCGGTGAGCCCGGGGGCGCGGGCAGCTCTCGGAGCTCGCGGGGAGCTGGAAGTGAGACCCAGACGTGGTGCTGTGGGGCGCGTGGCTCCAGCCCGCCCATGCTCCCAAGCGCTTTGGCTCTGGGGCCAGACAGATGAGGCGGTCTCAGGGGCGAGTGGCTTTGCTCCCAGGCCTGTTTTCACATCTGCAGGATGGGGCTGTAGCTGCTCACACATCCTCGGGCTGCTGGGGAGTGACAGATGCGATGCTTGTAGGGTTTCGGCAATGCTCTGTGACTCATAGCTGTGTAAATATTTGGACTTCCCTGGGCATATGGTCTCTGTTGCAGCCAATGCAGCAGGAAAGCCGCCATATGAATGCACATGCACGCACACGGATGTGTGTGGCTGTGCTCCAAGAACACTTGATTACGAGTGCTGAAATGTGCATGTTATAAAGCTCGTATGTGGTGTGAAATATATTTCTTTTGATCCTTATTTTTATTTTTAACTATTTAAAAACTAAAAACCATTCTTAGCTGTTGGGCTGCTGAAGAGCAGGCAGTAGGCTGGCTCTGGCCTACGCCTGGTGTGGAGAGCCACAGCGTGGATTCTGGAGCCAAACGCCCTGGGCTCAAGTCCAGCGGTATGATCTTGGGCGAGTCATTCACCTTGGCCCTGCCTCAGTTTCCCCAGCTACCTTCAGGGTTGTTGGGAGGATTAAATGAGTTAACATATGTGGGTAACTTTGGCAGTTTTCAGTTTATATGCATATTTTTTTCATTTAGATTTTATTTTTTAGAGAAAGGAGAAGGGAAGGAGAAAGAGAGGGAGAGGAACATTGATCAGTTTCCTCTTGCATGCTGCCACATTCGGGGACCTGTCCCGCAGCCCAGGCACGTGCCCTGACCAGGAATTGAACTAGCAACCTCTCCATGTGCAGGCCAGCACTCAGCTCTCTGAGCCATACCAGCCAGGGCCAGCTGTTTTAATTTAAAAATTTTTTAAATTGTGGTTGAATAAAACAACAGGATTTATCATCTTAACCATTTTTAAGTGTACAGTTCAGTACCCTTAAGTACAGTCACATTGTTGTGCAACTATCACTACCTGCTCCTGTTTAACACTAACTTGCCGGCGCACAACCCCTGGCAGCCACATTCTTTGTCCCTATGAATTTGACTCCTCTAGGGACCTCACATAGGTGGGATCATCATATAGTATTTATCCTTTGTGTCTGGCTTATTTCACTCAGCATAATGTCTTCCACGTTCATCTATGGCGTAGCGCGTGACAATGGCTATTTTAAGTCCTCTTAGGGGCGGTGGTACTTCACTGGCCTCACACTCACTATGGTGATTGTGATAAAGCTAGAGATGGTGGCTGGGAAGGGTTGCCTGGAGGCCTGAGCATGACCGGTCTGTGTCCCCACCCGGCGCAGGGGCCAATGAGTGCTTGGACAACAAGGGTGGCTGCTCCCACGTCTGCAACGACCTCAAGATTGGCTACGAGTGCTTGTGTCCTAAGGGCTTCCGGCTGGTGGACCAGCTAAGATGCGAAGGTGACTCCCAGGCAGCGTGGGCTCCGGGCCTCCCCAGCCCCTCCCTCTGACAAGGCAGCCAGACCCTCTGTGCCTTGGTTTCCCCCTCTGTTACGTGGGCCATCCCCACTCACAAGGCTGTTAGGAGGCTTTAACGAGATGCCACGGTCACAGAATGTCTAGCACAGGCTTAGCCCACGAGGAGCGCTTGGTTCTTGCATTTTGGAGTTAATAATTAAAAAAGAAATCCTGGCTGACGCAACTCTGTTCTGTTGGCCTTGCCCCAGAGGTGCGTGCGTGGTGAGGTTGACCTCATTGTTGGGGGCGAGTCTTAGCTGTTTCCCCGATTTTCCGTGTGAACCTCATAGTCACTGAGATGCCAACCCCCCGAGATCTCCCCCAGAGGGAAGGGCTGCCCCCCGTTTGTCATCGTGAGGCACAGCATTGGGTTGGAGCCTGTCAGTCTACCTGGGGGGAAGACACGCTACACCTCTTTCTCTCTCTTGACTTCTAGATATCGACGAGTGCCAGGACCCCGACGCCTGCAGCCAGCTCTGTGTGAACCTCGAGGGCAGCTACAAGTGCGGGTGTGAGGAGGGCTTCCAGCTGGAGCCCGCCACCAAGACCTGCAAAGCTGTGGGTGAGTGTGCGGGGGCGGTGCGAGGGGACTGGCCTGGCCACTCCGAAAGCAACCCCGTGGGGAATTTCACCATCTGGACTTTGCAGACTAAAATGACCTGGGGACAGCGCTCCCAAGGCCTCTGGCAGGTACAGGAGCAGGGCGGTTAGGAATCGAGGTTGCTGGAAGGCTGCCCTCGTGTGTCCGGCTTCTCAGCAGACCCAGGTCAACCCTCCAGAGGATGATTTGCAACCGCCAGACCCTGCCAGGAACTTTAGGAGGCAGGAGGTGGAAACCATGGCCCCAAACAGCCCACTCCTCCTACAACTCCTCTTATTAGCTAAAGGCACTTGCGCCCCCCCCCCCCCCCCCCCAAAAAAAAAGCAAATGCATTTAAAAGACACCAAAGAATAATGGCCCATAGTGAAACAAAGTAGCTGAGGGGTTTTTGCCTATCTGAAGTTTTGGTTTGTTTGGTTTTTTTTGAGATTTGATTTATTTTTAGAGGGGAAGAGAAGGAGAGAGGGGGAGAGACACAGCAATGTGTGGTTGCCTCTCGCGTGCCCCCTACTGGGGACCTGGCCCGCAACCCAGGCATGTGCCCTGACTGGGAATTGAACTGGCGACCCTTGGGTTCACAGGCTGGCACTCAATCCACTGAGCCACACCAGCCAGGGTGAAGTTTAGGTTAGACCTGCAGATGTGTGCTAATTCTAAGAATCACCTAAATCAAGGGATCCCGTGTTTTTGGAGGCGTCATCCTGGCAGATTTGTCTCCCTGAAGGTCGCCCAGACATTCTGTGTTTTGCATCACACTCTGCTCTTGCAGTGTGAATACAGCAAGGGTCAATTTTGCAGAAATATTTTAGAACCTCTTCTGTGTCTCCAAGAGTCTCTTAGGTTTTAATTCCTTCTTCCTTGTTGTCATCCCCTTAGACAGCCTCCTGCCCTTCCTCTGCCACATCCCCATGCGCACCCTGGTTCTGGAGAAAACTGGGGGCTGAATTCCCAAAATCCTCCAGGATTTGAGATTAGACTTTCTTTCCAACCTGTAGGGGTCGGTATCTGTACAGATGCCTTCCCCGTGTCACCGGGAGGGGTATCCTGAGTGCGGTCAGTGGTAGAAGTGGTCAGTTTGTGCATATTGGTGTTGTGGTTACAGCACAGCCCTCAGAGTCCGAGAGACCCGGGTTCAAATCCTGGCTCTGTCACTCACCAGCTGTGTGACCTTGGGCAAGTCATCTTCCCTCTCTGAGACACGGTCCCTTTATCGGTAAAAGGGGTTGACCACAGCACCTGCCTTGTAGGAGTGTGAGGATCAATGAGGGAAAACTCAGTAGGAAGAGCACTAAAAAGACTTCCTCGCTCTGAGGAATCACTCCGTACACATTGGTTGTTACCGTTTCTTCATCTTTCTGTTCTAAAGTGTAAAATGCTGGGGCCCGGGTGTTTTCAAACGTAGCTTTTTTTATTATTATGTACCTATGGTGCAGCCTACAGACCAGGAGTCAGCTGCCATTGAAAGAACAGTTTGCTGCTCACAGATCCCAAGGGGAGGGGACACCTCCCACCACGCAGGGCTCTGCAGGGCAGCCCCGAGATCTGTCGGGAAGCAGGGGGCTTGCGGGGGAAAGGTGGGCAAGAGCCTTTGTTGTGGTTTTCTTGGGAAGAAGCAGGTGAGGCAAGGAAAACAGGCTTAGGATTTGCTGGTCTGAGTAAATTCAGTGGGCTCTGGGGTGTAGGGACTGTCCCTGGTTGTCTGGTTCCTGACCTCAGGGTGACCAGGGCGAGGGTATAGTGGCCTGGAGTGCGAGGGGGCGAGGGAGGTGGCGAATGTGGGCTGCTTAGTCTGCATTTGGGCGAGGGGGTGACTAAACCTAGGAACCGGCCAGGCCTGGGAGCGGCCGGCCCTCCGAGAGCCGCGAGGTCCCGGAGTCAGAGCGTCGGAACCGCGCGCTCGGCACACCAGGGAGGCCCCCCGCCCCGACATCCTGGGTGTCTCCTCCGGTTCAGCCAGACCCCACGGGGTGAAAGACGGGTCAGGGCTCCTTTCCGCTCCCCTGAGTGCCCTTCGCGGCTCCACAGGCAGCATCGCCTACCTCTTTTTCACCAACCGCCACGAGGTGAGGAAGATGACGCTGGACCGCAGCGAGTACACCAGCCTCATCCCGAACCTGAAGAACGTGGTCGCCCTGGATATGGAAGTGGCCAGCAACAGAGTCTACTGGTCTGACTTGTCCCTAAGGAAGATCTTCAGGTGAGCCTCAGCCCGAGCCAGCCCAACCCTGCGCGAAACAACGGCCCTGGCACCCACCCCCTCGCCTCCGCCTTCTGCCCCCAGCACCCAGATCGACAGAGCGCACAGCTTCTCCTACAGCACCATCATCGGCGAGGATCTCCAGGCCCCTGATGGGCTGGCGGTGGACTGGATCCACAGCAACATATACTGGACCGACTCCATGCTGGGCACTGTCTCTGTGGCCGACACCAAGGGCGTGAAGAGAAAGACCCTCTTCAAGGAGGAAGGCTCCAAGCCGAGGGCCATTGTGGTGGATCCCGTGCATGGGTGGGTGTCCCCGCGGCTGAGGGGCACAGAGAGAGTGAAGAACCAGTGAGGACTCGTGTAGGGGGGAAGGCTTTGCCCGAAGTACGCTAGGCCGAGTGGGGTGGGGGCGGGCTGGCATGGGGCCCTTCGGGGCCATGAGGGTCCGTCCCTCTGATGTCTGCCGTGTCACCTGAGAGGGAAGCAGACCCTGAAAAGTCCTGCCCTGTGGAGTTGAGTCCAAAGTCAGAAATTAAAACACTGATTTAAATTGGTATTAGAAGTTAATATTTACTAGAAATTAGAAAATAAAATTTGGATTTAGTCTTTTGTGCCAGGATAGGATGGGAGGACAGCAAAAATGCACGTGTCCCAAGTTTATTGACGGACAGGTTTCTTGAGGACGTGGCTGGGAGTGAAGGCCGCCACCACCACCGTGTGGAGGCCCCAGGCAGGTGTCTGGGGGAGCTTGCGGCTGATTCAGCAACTCCAGGGCCCGCAGGGACAGGTCTCCTGGAGGAAAACGTGGCCCCGTGTGTGCCTGTCCGGCCACATCTGCCGCCACAGCATGTCACGTGTGGAATCTCGCAATTCCAGAGGGGCAGCCCGGGGGCGGGCAGCTGTGACTGGAAAAGGGAGCGCTTGGCTGTGAGCGTGACTCAGGCGGCACCGACCCTGTGGGGAAGGGGGGCCAACCAGGCCCGGGTCCCCCAGATGGGCCTCGATTTATTTAACTGCTGTTCAGCACATGAGCATTTAGAATTTTATCACCCTTTTGTCTTCTACCACTTACGAAGTAGCACTGCCTTAGTGTGGTGGTCTGGAACCAAACCTTCAATATCTCTGAGATTATATATATATTTGAAAAGCAAAAAAATAAAATAAAATTTAAATTTAAAAATTGCAACAACAACAACAAAAATGCCCTGGCTGGTGTGGCTCAGTGGATTGAGTGCCAGCCTATGAACCAAAAGGTCACCAGTTCAATTTCCAGTCAGGGCACAGCCTGGGCTGTGAGCCAGGTCCCAGGTGGGGGTGTGTGAGAAGTAACCAATCGATGTATCTCTCGCACACCAATGTCCCTCTCTTTCTCCCTCCCTTTCCCTCTCTCTAAAAGTAAATAAAATCTTTTTAAAAAATTTGCAAAAAAATGATAAGACTCTTAAAGTAGTGTTAGGGTGCAGATTCCTGGGCTCCAGTCCTGACACTGGAATCAAAACCTCCCTTTGTTGGCCCTGGCTAGTAGCTCAGTTGTTAGGGCATCATCCTGCTACAGCAAAATTGTGAGTTCAATGCCCGGTCAGAACATACAAGAACCAACCAACGAATGCATAAGTAAGTGGAACAACAAAATGATGTTTATCTCTCTCTCTAAAACAAAAAAACCTCCCTTGGTTTTTTTTTTTGTTTGTTTGTTTTTTTAAGGTTTTCTTTAATTTTCAGAGAGAGGGGAAGGCAGGGAGAAAGGGAGAGAAACATGGGTGTCTGGGGACCTGGCCTGCACCCCAGGCTGTGCCCTGACCGGGAACACCAGCCAGGGCTCCCTTTGTTCTTGAAGGTTCTAAAATCCTGCCAGGTCTTATAAGGTTGGGGAGCAGACAGAACCAGGTCGGGGTCTCCCTGGAGACTGTTCCAGAGGCCTGGCCTGGCCGCTCCAGGTGGAAGCTACTCTTCAGCAATGGCTGGGAGCCGCCCCCACTGACAGATGCATCTTTGTCCTCACTGCTCTCTCTCCAGCTTCATGTACTGGACAGACTGGGGGACTCCTGCCAAGATCAACAAGGGGGGCCTGAATGGCATGGACATTCACTCACTGGTGACAGAGAACATCCAGTGGCCCAATGGCATCACCCTGGGTATGTTTGAGGGACTGTGGTCCCTGAGGGTAGAGCATAGTCTAGAGGAGAGAGAGAGAGTGGCCAGCCCACCCCTAAACACAACCATGCAGCTCCCTGAGGTTTTTATAACCTGAAACTGAGTTCGCCACCAAGCCCTCGCCCCACCCCACCCCACTTCTTGCAGCATTTGGTTCCAGCTCACACATGGGGGATGTGTGGCCAGAGCCGCTTTTCTGGGCACGTGTCTGCTGGGTCCTTTGGGGACTGCTTTCTGCAGCAGTGTCATGCCCAAAGGCCCCTCCAGCATCAGCATGTGGCCTCTCCTTGTCTGTCTGTGGGTCTTAGATCTTTCCAGCGGCCGCCTCTATTGGGTTGACTCCAAGCTCCACTCCATCTCCAGCATCGATGTCAATGGGGGAAACCGGAAAACCATTCTGGAGGACAAGAAAAAGCTGGCGCACCCCTTCTCCCTGGCCATCTTTGAGGTGAGGGCTGGGAGCACAGGCTTGCTGCTTTGGGGCCCGAGGGGATTCGCAGCCGAGCGCTTTTACTGAGCGCCACTCCGACCTGAGGCATGAGCGCTCACACAGACAGGTCAACAAATGTTGCCCAGTTCGTCCAAGCCAAGACTGAGAAAACTGCTTATGACTGAAGAGGTCTTAGACCTGGAGTTACTTCTGTTTTGTTCTTGCCAAAATAGTCTTGAAAGGCCTAAAGCAGCAGTTCTCACGCGGAGGCCATCTTGTCATCCAGGGGACATGTGGACATGTCTGGAGACTTTTTAATTGTTACATTTTGTTGGGGGGTGGTTACTAGTGGCATCTAGTCGGTGATGGCCAGGGATGCTGCTAAACAGCGTGCCAGAGGGGGCTCCCATGCAGGTTATCCGGCTCCAGAGAGCACCCCAGTGGGGGAATTCTGCTCTAAAGGAATGGCATTATATTGGCTCACCCATGTTCAAGCAGCCTGGTTCACAGTAGCCAAGAGGTGAAAGCAACCTGGGTGTCCATCAGGGATGAAGGGTACTGTATACCCTTCACATGCACAGCGCGCTGTATCCGCACAGTGGGGTATTAGTCACCCTTAACAAGGAAGGAGATTCTGACACGTGCTACATGAGTGAACGTGAGGACATTCAGCTGAGTGAAAAAAGCCAGGCACAAATTGGCCAACTCTGTCTGATTCTACTTACATGAGGTCCCTGGATGTTCTCTGTCACCAGTGAGTGAACGTCCATGCCATTCAGGCCCCCTTCATAGACAGCACGGAAGGTGGGTGCGAGGGGCCGCGGGGGGAGGATGGGGAGTTAGTGTTTAACGGGGGCAGAGTTTCAGGTCGGGAACGAGAACAAGTTCTAAAGATGGATGGCGGCCCCGGCTGCACAACAATGTGAATGTCCTTCATGCCACGGAACTGGGCACAAATGATTAAGATGGTACATGTTATGTTATGCGTAATGTACCACAATGAAAAAGTTTTTAAGAAAGAAGAAATGATGCTACTACCTACAGCTGCTTCTTTCCAGAGAGCCCCAGAGATTCAGGGGTTGGGAGGACAGTGGTCTGTCCCACCCCAGTAGTTAATGGGCTCTGTCGTCTTCCTTAATGTCCATGTAGGATAAAGTATTTTGGACGGATATCATCAATGAAGCCATTTTCAGTGCCAACCGCCTCACGGGGTCTGACATTAATTTGATGGCAGAAAACCTGTTGTCCCCGGAGGACATTGTCCTTTTCCACAACCTCACACAGCCAAGAGGTAAAGATAGGGTGGCTGCCCCTCACCCACTCTACTGACAGAGCCCTGGAATTTTCTAGAATTTTCTGACCTCGTTCTTACCCTGGCTCCCCGCCTTTTCCTCCTCAGGGGTGAATTGGTGTGAGAAGACTACCCTCCCCAACGGTGGCTGCCAGTTCCTGTGTCTTCCAGCCCCCCAGATCAATCTCCACTCACCCAGGTTCACCTGCACCTGCCCGGACGGCATGCTGCTGGCCACGGACAGGAGGAGCTGCCTCACAGGTGGGGGCGCCTGCCCGCTCGGCACGTGTCTTGCTTCCCACGCTGATGCTCAACCCCGCGGCCCTTCCTGGGCCTCTCTCTGTTTCTCTGTCAAATGGGAGAGCGAGGCCCCAGGAGGCTGTTATAGGGACTCACCAGCTGGGACAACCATAGTCTGCCTTTCAGGAATGTTGGGCATATCAACACTGCTGGGCACTTAGATAGACTCAGTTGACCTTTGCCGTCTAGTCCACTCTGTCCTGGCTCCCTTGGGAGGTGACTGATTTTAGACGGAGATGTTAAGTGAGGAATGGCCCTTTTCTTTTTTGTTTTTAATGTTGCTAAGATAATTGATTTTTAAAAATGTTTTTCTTTTTCTTATTCTTTTTCTTCTTAAGATTTTATTTATTTTTAGAGAAGGGGAGGGACAGAGGAAAAGAGGGAGAGAAACATCAGTGTGTGGTTGCCTCTTGTGCGCCCCCTACTGGGGACCTGGTTAGCAACCCAGGCATGTGCCCTGACTGGGAATAGAACCGACGACCCTTTGGTTCGCAGACCAGCACTCCGTCCACTGAAACACACCAACCAGGGCTGATTTTATTCCAAATATTAACGTTTTTCTTGTGTCTTTTGGTATGTCTCTTCATGCATGTTAGTGAGAAAATTTACCTATCAGCTTAACATACTTTAATTTTCCTCCAAAGACCATAGATTGTGTTACTTTGAGGAGGGGGGAAATCTCTCTTTCTCCTTCTCTCCCTTTAAAAAAAAAAAAAATCTTAGTTATCTATTTTTAGAGAGAGGGGAAGTGAGGGTGAGAGGGAGAGAAACATCAATGTGCAAGGGAAACATTGATCAGTTGCCTCTCGCATTTACCAAGGTGCTTTACCGAGGTAAAGGCTGGGACCACCCTGGCCCCCGACTCATCCCGATGAGCATCTACATGGGCTTCTTCAGAGGTCAGAGCATCTTCATGAAGAGCTGGAAAGTGGAGTTAGTTTTGGCTGACTCTAACATGGCGGTATATCTCTGAAGCCTCAGTTTCCCTACCTATAAAGTGAGGCGAGTAACAGTGCCCACCCCCCCCCCCGGGTATTAGTGGGGGTTGCAGGGGCTAACTCGTGTGGAGAGCCTGAGCACACGGTGCTGGTGAGCCCAGAGTCCGCCAGGTGCAGGGGCCCAGGCGTGTGAAATGTTGTCCAGGCCCATTCGCTGCCCAGCTTTCAGGGCCTGTGTGCCCAGGCAGGCCAGGGAGAGGGTGAAGCAGGTGAGGCGCTCCTCCGGATGACATCTGAGAGGGCACCAAGAATCCCAGGACTCAAATAATATTTTAATCTGGTATTTTTATTTTATTGTATTAAAGAGTTTATTTATTCATTTTTAGAGAGACGGGAAGGGAGAGAGAGAGGAAGGGAGAGAAACATTGATGTGTGAGAGAAATATTGATCAGCTGTCCCCACACTCACCCCAATGAGGGACAGAACCCACAACCCAGGGATGTGCCCTGACTAGGAATCGAACCAGCAACCCCTTGCTTTCTGGGACGTTGCCCAGCGAACAGAGCCACACTGGTCAGGGCTAATCTGATATTTTTAAAAAATCAAATTGCCAAACTATAGCCTGTGGGGCCAACCACCTGTTCTGGTAAATGAAGTTCAATCAGAACCAGGGTCCTAGTAAGGCAGAACCATTTGAGTGTAGTGTTAGGCCCAGTTTTGCTAAAAATCTGGATATTTTGTTCATCATAGGGTGCTGGAATTAATTTTTATTTTTAAATGTTTTAAAGCACTACTGAATTACTGAGTTTTTGAGGGGAGCCTTTAAGTTTTGTGCCTGAGGCCGGTGACTCATTCTCTTCACCCTAACCTGGCCTCAAGGTCATGACCTCCTTGGAGTGGTCAGAGCTGGGCTCTCAGTGAATTGACCAAAGATTCACCATTCATTCTTTGTCCACCAGAGGGCACCCGACTTAATTTTTGAGCAGCTTGGAAATGGATCTCACGGACTGACTTTTCTGGCCAGAAAAAAAATGTCACATCAGCACGTTTCAGACATTTTTTTCCCCCTCAGAGTAGCTGAAGCCTTTGTTCAACCATAATCGAGATTAAAACAGGAACTGCTGTGCTTATGGGACGCCTGGAACCCTTCACGCTTGGGATGGGGGTAGCGGGGCACTGTTTGAAAAACCGCTTTCACAGACAGGCCTATCCTGGGCTCTGGAATTTGGCAAAGGAGCCCTTTTAAGGGAAAAACTCCTCCAAAATTCTGCTGCTGCCCTAAATCATTGTTGTTACAAGGTTTCTTAAATATGCACAAATGTAATATTGGGTATATATTTCATATGCACATGTGCAACAGCTGGGAGAATTAAAACCTTGGTGGATTTGAATATAATTCATGATGATAATCATGGCTCATGGATGTGGCTTAGTCCTCCTAGCCCATTTGCCTCTTTTTTTTTTTTAAAGATTTTATTTATTTATTTTCAGACAGAGGGAAAGAGAGAAAGAGCGGGAGAGAAACATCAATGTGTGGTTGCTTTTCACACGCCCCACACTGGGGAGCTGGCAGTCAACACAGGCATGTGCCCTGACTGGGAATCGAACCAGCGGCCCTTTGGTTCACAGGCTGGCATTCAATCCACTGAGCCACCCCAGCCAGGGCCTGTTTGCCTGTTTAGAGACCTTTAAATGTTCATTTGAATGGAGCCCTTTTGTTGTTTGGCTCAGGTGCATTTGTGTGATTAGTGGTTATGTAATGAGGTGTCTTCCTGCACCCCAATATATTTTATTAACTGGGGGAAGTTGACACAGGACCATGGAGTTCGATGCGATCCAACCCGTGCTTTGGAACTGGTGAACCTCATCCAGAATAGGCTCGTTGCCATCCAGTGCAGAGCCAGGCTGCAAAATTTCACCAGTGACCATTGTAAATGTAACTGCAGGCTCTCACCTTGGAGACTGATGGTCCTTTCTCCAGTGCCTCTCGATGCTGAGCTGAAGTACCAGTCTTAATACCACACTGAGTCCCACAGTTCCGATTGCTAATGAATAAGTTCCTGGCGCAAGCCAGCAATGTGCGCCTCAAACCTGGGAGGTGCTCCAAGTTCCTCTGAACTTTTAAGGGCAATGAGAGGCGGCAGGTGTTTTCCTTTGGGTGTGAGTCATCACACACCTGCTGTGCTTCCATGGCCCTGAGGATCTGAGCCGCCATTTCTCCCTTCTCCCGTGCAGCCCCGGACACTCCTAACGAAGGGAGCCAGGAGAGGCCCAGGAGCGTGGGCGCGCTGTACATTGTCCTCCCCATCGGTAAGCCACTGGTCGGCCCGCCCTCAGTTCCCTGACCTCCCTCCTTAGCCACCTTATCTCCCAGGAATGGGGCGTCCTGGCCGTGTGTCCTATTCATCATTGCACTCCCCTTTCTAGCTTCATTCATTTAACAAATCTAGTTGAGTGTCAATCGTGTACCACGCCTGCTTCTGGGCACTGGGGACACAGCTGTAAAAGAAATAAACACCCTGCCCCCTGGGAGCTGACAGTGAACGAAAGGAGACAGCTGACGTGTCAGGGGGGAGATGGGGCCAGGCTCCGGCTGCCTGCGCAGTGATGGGTGCTGCAGGGAAGGACACCTGGGGGAGATGAGGCAAACGGTCCCCTTGCAGGGGCAAGTGTGGATAGCTCCGCTTTCCCTTCCTCAGCCTGTCAATCACAGCTCAGTTAGCATCATGCCCATTTTCCCTTTTCTGAGGAAATCCTCTTGAAGTGCCTCTTCATCACCCAGCCTGCCCCAGATGCCTGCGTTTTGGTGCCCGACAGTCACCCAGCTGTGGGTTGACAGACATGGCATATGGGACCCTCTCCTCCCTGGTGACCGCCAAGGGTGGCATCTGCCTACTTCTTCCCAGTGGCGCCTAAGTCCCACCCCCTGGGCACTGGTTAGGCTGTTTGACAAAGCCGGGCTGGCAAGCCCTTGGCTGTGCCCTGGATTATCTAAAAAAGTAGCAGCCCCACATGTGTGTAATCCCAGGAGAAACCCGGAAGAACCCACAGCAGTCGAGCATTCTGGGGTGATGCAGTCGCAGTGGTCCTCAAGGGAGAAGACTGGCTGTGCCTTTAGATTTTTTTTTTTTTAACAAACAACAAGTATTTCTTTAAATCAGAACAAAACCATTAACAAATAAAAAGGCTGGGAGTTTGAAGGCAGCGTCACTCGTCACTTGGGGCACTTGGGGCAGGGCACAAGACGGGGAGTGACATCAGGCTGCCTGTCCCACAGTGGTGCTTACCCTTCTGTGCTTCGGGAGCTTCCTCTTCTGGAAGAACTGGCGACTGAAGAGCATCAACAGCATCAACTTTGACAACCCCGTGTACCAGAAGACCACGGAGGACCAGGTCCACATCTGCCCCAGCCAGGACGGCTACACTTACCCCTCGGTGAGTGCCCCGCCCAGCTGGGGGGCCACGGCTTCCCTGCGAGGGTGTCCAAAGCCATCCTCATGGTTGGGGAACAGGGAACATGGATAAGGAGAGACCCCAAATCATGGTGACGGAACAGGAAACCCACTGGGAGCGGCTGGGAGAGGCGAGTGGCAATTTTAGTTAAGGTGGTTTGGGTGGGCTTCCCTAAGCAGGAAGTGGTGTGCAGAGGGCACAGCCTGTGCAAAGGCCCTGAGGCTGGCCAACCCCTGGTGTGTTTGAGCATGGTGGCCACACGGTGGCCGGTGTAGCTGGAGCGGAGAGAGGGGAAAGAGGGAGGGGACAAGGGCAGTGAGTGTGCCTGGCAGATGGAGCAGAACTTTGTGGGCCATGGGAAGGACTTGGGCTTTGCTCAGAGTGAGACGGGAGCCATAGAGCGCTCTGGGAAAAGGAGGTTGGCCTGCCTTGTGCTCACAAGCACCCCCTAGTGGCCGCTGGGAAAGGACACACCAGGGAAGGGCGAGGGCAAAATCAGACTAGGGTGCTCGCGTGTGCCCTCTAGAGACCATGGGAGCAACAGACTGGGGCCGAGGTCAGTAGCCAGGAGACCAGGGCGGAAGTGATTGCACTGGTCTAGGCTGGTGATGAGGAGCAGGTGGCCTCTGGCCATGTTTGCTGGATGTTGGATTGATTATTTCCGGTGTTTACCGTTTCGTTGACAGAGACAAATGGTCAGGATGGAGGATGACATAGCATGAGCTGCTGACTCGAGTCCTGTCCCTCCCCAGAACCTGCTGCTGGTCAAGGGCAGGAAGAACACTTTCTCCCCAAACCCTTGACCTTCCCAAAACCCTCTGTCAGACCTCGACACCCTCCTGTTCCGTTCAGAGAAAGAAGTAGCCAAAAGCACTGCTGGCGGCTGCAACCCGAGGCTTGCATCCATGGGCCTGTCTGCCAGAGCTTTGTTTTATATATTTATTCATCTGGAAGGCAGGCGACAGTGCACATGGAATGGGTTTTGGTTGAATTCTTTTTCTTGACCTCTCCTCCTCCACTGTCTCCTCGCCTGAGGAACTGATGGATGGAGGGACACCAAGCCAGTGGCTTTGAACACCGAAGTGCAATGCCACCGCCAGGGCCCCAGGCAGCTGCTGAGCCCCTAATCTCAGGCATAAATGTGTTTACCTCTGCCTTGCAGGCCTTGATGGACACCAGAGTAAGCTTTGGCTCTGCCACTGCAAATCAGGATAAAACCAGTATTTTCAAAGCCGGGTATGTGCCCTTCCCTTAAGTTGGGAAAGGGACTCTGGCGTTGGTATTGACATGGCTGAATCCAGCACATGGGGCGGGGGGGGGGTGGCCAGCTGAGCCCCTCATTCACCAAAAACCTCAATAGCTACCCAAGGAAAGCCTGAGCCACCCATTGCCCTTGACGTTATGAAGTGCCTGAGATACCCAGGGACCTTGTGTGTGAGGATAAGTGGCCTCCTACCTCTAGCAGTGTCCTTCAGCCCCCGGGGTGGCTGTCTGGACCCCAGCCCCTCCAGGTGCCCTTGCACTTTTCCAGTTCAGGCTTGGATGTTCTGTAAAGTCTACATTCGTTGTAATTTTGCACTGTTTTCTGTTCTGGCTGGGCGGGCTCCTAGGCCGGAGGGGGCCCCGAGGTGGGGCGGGGATGAGGTAGAGTCTCGGGGCCTTTCTCCCGGGGTTTCAAAGCGGAAGAAGAAGATCGTGATTATCTGGCTGGTATTTTCACTTCAAGGCACGTGCCCCTGAGCCATTAATCTCCCTGACAGGACGGTTGTCACGGACGGTTGTCCCCCTGAAACGTGCATTGTGTTTCTGCCTTAAGACATCCCTTAGGTCGGTCATTGTATGGAACTTATGAAACAGGAATGCTTTCTGAAATTGTCACACATGTCACATTCACAACTGAAGGGACAGTGGAAGGGTCCTCCCGTGGCTTCCTTGTCCACTGTGCGCACTACAACCACGAAACGCTGTGCCACGCCCTGCAGGGAACTGTGACGGGAGTTTCTCTTCCTGAAGTCTGTAAATAAGCCCCCGCACGTGTGAGCGGGGTGCTTTATGTTTGCACTTTGTATGATTGTTGAACATTTATCATTCATATATATGAAAAACAGATCTATTTATTTTTGCAAACCCTGGGTGCTGCGTTTGTTTGGTGACCCCTGAGGGGTTCTGCCCTGGGGGCGACCATCTGAGAGGCCTTGTCTGTCCGTAGTCTGTCCCTACAGGTGGTTCGCGCAGCCTCTCCAGGGGCACCGTGTCCATGTTGCCCATATGGGCTGCTTTGGGCGGGGGGGGGGGGGTAAGTCGTAATTTTAAACCACTGTATAGAATGTTTTTATCGTCTGAATGTCTTACTTGGACTGAATAAATTTCTTAAATGAACCACTTGGCTCATCCTGATGCCCTTTTGTCTTCTCTTCTGTTCCCTCCTTCCTCCATCTGTTAATGGGCTCGCCTCAGCAGGGAGAAGGATCTGGAAAGGGAGCATTTGCCCAGAGCTCAGGGCGGGCTGCAGGCTGGGGGGTGGTGCTGTGCCCGGCTGGGGAGCAGCTCTGTGGGGTGCTCCCTTGAGTTGGAGTTTTGCTCTATCTCCTGCTTGTTCATTCATTCAACAAACATACTGGGCACCTACTGCGTGCCAGGTCCTGTTCTAAGCGTGCAGCACACTGCAGTGAGTGAAAAACAATAAAAGTGACTAAGAGTCTGGGCCCTCAAGGATGTGGCATTTTAGAAGGGGAAAGAGATAAAATTACTGTATTTTAGAATAATGTTAAACAGGGTAACGGGAGAAATACCCGCCAGGGCAGGACTCTCTAAGGTGATATTTGAGCCGAGTCCTAAAGAGTGAGAACTAGCCATGTGAGGTCCTGTGGGGAGACAGTTATCAGGGCTGAGACACAGGGACAAGGCTGCACAGAATGTGGTATTTCCGAAGGCCATATCCCTTCAAACCTCTGGGCCCCAAGAGGGGTTGGTGTGAGGTCCTCTTAAAAGATAAGACAAAGGATAAAAACACAACTACATTCACCACTGAGATATGTACAGTCAAGATTTCACAACACAAATCCAAATAATGTTTGGTTAATGTGACTTGAGATTCCAGGCGTCTGGTATGTGTGTGGGGTCCATCTCAGCACCCTATGCCCCTCTCTTGTGCGCCCCAGCTTTACCTGAGCCTGGGCCGGTGGGTGTCTCAGACCCCCTGCCCCTGAGCGCGGCAGTCAAACCGCAGAGAGTCCGGGTGTATCAGTTGGGTACAGGCAGCCCGCAGCGGGTCTTTGCGCAGAAAGAACTTAACACAGAGACCTAAGTGTAAAATGCAAAGGGGGCAGACCATGAGATGCCACCTCACTCACACCCGTTAAGATGACCGCTATAAAAATATATATATGTAACAAGTGTCGGCGAGGCTCTGGAGAAATCGGAGCCCTTGTGTGCCGCAGGTAGGAATGTAAAATGGTGCAGGCACTGTGGGGAGCAGTGCGGTGGTTTCTTGGGAAATTAAAAAGAGTTACCATGTAATCCAGCAATTCTACTTCTAGGTATAGGCACCCCCCAAAAATTGAAAGCAGGGACTTACAGAGTTACTTGTACACCAGTGTTCATACCAGCATTATTCACAACAGCCAAGAGGTAGAAACAACCCCACTCACTGTCCATGGGTGAATTAATGAATAAAGAAAACGCGGGGCATTCATGCAATGGAATGATATTCGGTCTTAAACAGAACATTCACTCGTGTTACAACAAAAACTTGCTCACAGAAGAACAAATACTGTCTGATTGCCCTTACAGGAGGTTCCCAGAGGAGTGGGATTCAGAGGCAGGGAGTAGAACGGCGGGGGCGGGGGCGCGGGGCGGGGGAGGCGGGCGGGGAGCTGGCGTGTAACGGGGACAGAGGGTTAGTTTGAGAAGATGAGAAAGTTCTGGAGACGGGTGGCAGTGAAGGCTGTGCAACAATCTAAGTGTGCTGGATAATTAAAAATGAGCTGGATAATTAAAAATGGTTTCGATGATAAATTTTGTTATGTGTATAGGACTACAATTTAAAAGTGATAATTATTTTTAAAAAACACCAAATAGGGGACAAGGGGGCAACCAGAAATAAGCCACAGCAGAGCGAAGGCTTGGCACGGGCAGACCCCCAAGCAGCGCCCTGCGGTGCCCACTTGGAGTGTCCGGGCGCTGGGGCGGGGCCGCCCGGGTTGGGGTGGGTGGCCTTGGGCCCGTCAGGGCTGGTGTCGCCAACTGCAAGTGGGGCCAAGGCTGATCCCACCCCACCGCCGGCTCTGCGAGTTGCGGGGTGGGGGTGTCGGGGGAGGGACCTGTGGTTGGAGGTGAAAGCCAGGAGCTGCAGGGACTGTTATCATTCCTGTGTCCACAGGGTGGCACTTCCTTCCTTCCGCCTTTAGTCTTGGGAAGGTTCCAAAATGCCTCTGGGGTGAAGACTGAACAGGCCGCACAGGAAGCGTCAGGGGCCTGCACGCGGCGGTCGATAATTGCTTGATTGACTGATTCCATGCTCAGCCGTGTGGCAAACAGGACAAATGACGTGGAACAGCGGCACACAGGAGGGGGGCGCGGCCAGAGGGCGCTCTGCAGGGGTGGGAACAGGACGGAGCACAGGGAGCAGGCAGGAGGACGGGAGCTTCTGGTATCTGGCCTGGGCAGTTTTGTTAAAGGAGTAGTCACTGCAATCCTTCCTCAGGTGCCCCCACGGTGGCCCGGACTATGACATTGACTGGAGTTGGAGCTTTGTGACAAAGGAGAAACACGGCTGCAGGATTAACTCATCCACTCCCTGCGGTGGCCGTCTGAGGGGAGTGGTGACCGGCCCCCGCTTTACACATGGGAAGGGGGAGGCTCAGGGTCCCTAGACCCAGACTCCCCTTGCCTTTTTCCACCACCAGCCCAGGAGGGTCACCAGGGGAGCGATCCCCTTCCTGGCCACAGTTCTCTGGGCTCAAAACGGGGTCCCTCAGTGAGAGCCGTGAAAGTTACCCAGGTAATACTCAGCCCTTGGATGTGCGGCCAGCTCCCTGGTCTGTAAGGTTGGCACACGCCCCAAAGTGCTGGCTCTGGCGGGGTAGGGGGCGGCCTGGAGCTTGGGGGCTGCCACCCTGAGTATGGGGTAGAGGCTTGACAGCTCTGGCAGGTCGGGGTGGGCGGCGGAGGAAGCTGCTCTCCCAAGCCTGACGTTCCCTCGTGTCCTGATGCTGCCCGCCCCCAGCCCTGGCATCCAAACCGCAGCTGCTTGCGGTGAGTCAGGCTGGGGCCCGCGGGCTGGGCCGGGTGTTCTGGGGGGAAGGAAGGGGGCGGGGGAACGCTGCCCCCCATGCCCTGCCTGGCAGGCTATCCCCCATGGGGAGGCCCAGCGCCCCCCACCTCTGCCCACCCCCAGGAAGTGAATCCCTGCGACGATGGAGGCAGGAGGCTGAGGGTTTGTGAGCCAGCGCAGGTCACATCACCACCCAACTGTGCAGGGACCCGGGCTGGGGGCGGGGAATGGAACTAGCACAGCCCCCAGGACTCCTGGGTCTGGTCCAGTCTCCCCTCCGGGCAGTTCAGCTCGGGTTTCAGCGCAGCTTCCTGCCCTCAGCCGAGGGGCTCCCTGCTTCCCAAGCCCCACCCTTCCCAGCCCAGCTGCTCCCACTCATCCTGCCCTCCTCTCCCACGCTGCTCAGGGTGAAGGAGGGGAGTTTGGGGGTTCATAGTGAGACCAGCCCCCCCGGAACCTGGAGATCCTCCCCGTGTCTCACTGGACCGCAGGCCCAGCACGATCAAGCCCCGTGACCTCCGGGTTCCCCCCACACTGGCCTCTGTGTGTCCCCAGACCAGCCTTTGCATTTGCTGTTCCCTGTCAAGATCACTGTCTCCACACTTTTGTTGCCTGGGGGCTTGGGCCTGGGCTCATAGGACACCTCCTCCCTGGATCTCCTACAAACACCCCTCCGCCCCCCAAACAGCAACAGCATGTATCAATAAATGAAAAGAGCACATTCGTAGGTCAGGGTTAAATTCAAGGTCTGGATCTAGTTCAAACCCCGGCTCTGACAACCGTCTGCTGCAGACACTTATGCAAACAGCATGACCCTTCTGTGCCTGTTTCGCTACCTGCAGGGAAACACGGAGCCAGGCACACGGCACCTGCTCCACCATCATGTGTCACGGCCTCCACTGGAGTGTGGCCTCCTGGAGGGGGGCGCGGCAGGTCGCCGGTGCACAGTCAACACTTCTAAGTCAGGGAGGCCACTGGGAGGAATGGGCCACCCAGAGTCCCGGGGAATCTGGTCACCATTGCGTCGCTGCAGCTCAGGGACCAGGCCTCCTGGCCTCTCCCCAGCCTCAGCTCACACGTGTCGGTGGCCCAGGGCGATGTGCGCTTGGCCACCTTCCCAGCAACGCCACCTGCATCAGCCAGGCTGGCCAGGTGTGCGACTGAGACCAGCAATGACTGACACTTAAGGACTTCATAAGGCTCTAGAATCTCGGCCTTCTGTCACCCTTCAGGGCGTAACCAAGTGCAGATGTTAGTTCCAGTTCTCTCTCGGTCTCTACTTGGGTGACCTTGGACAAGGGCCAGATGCTTAAGAGGCTGCTTCTCATCTGAAAAGCCAAGAGGCCCTGGGGCCCCACAGCTGGGTCTTCACTGTCCAGTGGTTTTGGCAACTGGCTGGTCCGTGCCATGCCTTTTTCCTTGTCTGTGAAATGGATTCTCCTCACCCCTGAGGACGGTGCTAGGCCCACATTGGCTGTTTTCAGGGTGGGTGGGGTGGGGTTGCAGGATTAGGAATGGGGCTGACCCTCAGTTCTACACTCAGGTGACCTGGCTCCCCACTCCCTAGCCCTGGGGACATCAGTCTCACTCCTTCCTCAACAAGGCCAGGCCCAGTACGCAGATGCCGCGGGCCGACCTCCAGAGTTCGGAAAGAGCTGGTGGCTGCCAGTGGAGCGACTCTGAGAGGGAGACGGGCGGGGGCGAGGGCTGCAGGCTGTGGGCCTGAGCCTATCCTACTTGCTGTCCAGGCATCCGGCCAAAGCCAGGCAGTGAGTCAGGGCCCAGGCATGTTAGAGGACCAGGGCCTCTCCTGGCCCCTGTGAGCTCAGGAACCTCCCTGACCCGCCCACCCGCAGGGGCCTGGCCAGGCCATGCTTCCCCCACCACTCACTCCCTCCCTAAAGGGACCTTCTTCCTCTTGGGGAAACTGAGCTCCAGACAGAACAAGGCCTCCGTGGTTTCTTCCTAGAACAAAGCCAGGCTATTGCTTGGAGAGGGACAGCGGGCCCACAAGGTGGTTGGGCCCTGGGCCAGGGACACAGATAAGCCTCTCTTGTCATGGAACCCAACTCCAGGCCTGGTTTCCCTCCCAGGCACTCTGGGGCTAGGGGGAACGTGTCCTTCTCTGCCCTGGGTTTTCAGCCTGGCTGGGTCTATTCCGAAGAGCCGTGGGGGTTACCAAGGCTGGGGGTACTCCTGACACCTTCACCCAAAAAGGCGAGCAGGTGGAGGCTGGTTATGTTAGCAGAAATGGCCACAAGGGTGACAGCCATTACTCAGCTGACCACGGGCCAAGGCCTGGCTTGTTTCTGACTGAGGCCACAAAGCTGGTGGGCAGCCTTGTGTGTTGGGCGGGGGAGGGGGGGCTCCCACAGGGACAGCGGCAATAGCTGGAGACATCTGTGGATGACACGATGGAGGTGGGTGCTCCTGGCTTCTAGAGGGCAGAGCCCAGAGACGTTGCTAAATGTCCTGCAATGTCCAGGACTGCCCCCACCAGAGAATGACCAGCCCTGATTGTCATCGGGGCTGAGGCGGGAAACCCTAGTCTAGGCTTTGCCCTTTGCATGCTGACGGTGGACGGGGGCTCCACTCCCGCTTCACACCATTAAGACTGCTGACCTGGAAAGCACTACCGGCCCAGAAGGGCCATGTGAACTTTTAACTCTGTACAGCCACGAGCAGCTGGCATTAAAGCAGGGCCCCTGGAGTTCTGGAAATCTTGTGAGCTGAACGGGCAGGGGTTTCTACACTTCAGGGACTACCGGGCCCTCTTTATTAGGTCCATCCTCCTAGAGCCCGACAGGCAGGCTTCCTTGCCCCAGGACCTCGGAGGGTCAGTGAAATGGACTGACCTTAGAGCCCACTAGATGTGCTCAGATGCTGCTAGAACTTATAGTTCCCTCCGCCTAGAATGCCCCTCTCTGATTAAAACACTAATTGTGATTATTGTAAACAAATCAGTTATACAGAGGCAGAGACCCAACACCCAGAGGTTCATATAATCATCTACTGGCTTCAGGCAAGGCTGTATCCAGGGGCGGCAGATATCAATGAGACTACATTTCCCCCGGCCCTGCCCTCAGACAGGCAGTTCACAAGCTTCCAGCTCTTAGTAGTACCCAAATCACCAAGGACAAGGTTTAGATGAACACATCAACCGGCTGACCCTTGTCTAGGTTACATGCTTAATCAGTTAGGGTTTATTTTGGCTGTTTGTGATAGAAATATAAAAACAATGGCACACACAAAATAATTTAGGGCAAACACCTCAGCACCTTACAGAAATCTGGAGCTGATTTCAAGTCTACCGTCATTAGTGAACCAGTTCCCAATCATCCCTAGGGCACTGTACTCCTCCTTATGTGTGGCAATATGGCTGCCAGGGCTCTAGCCATCACCCAAATCCCAGAAAAAAAGGGGAGGGGAAAGAAAGGGCTTACTCCCTTGCCTTTTAAGGATCCTTCTTGAAGCTTCATATAACACTTCCATTTATACCATGTTGGCATGAACTTAGCTGCAAAAGAAGCTGGGAAATGTGAGTCAACCAGGCACAGCTCCAGGGTGGCATCTGCTCACACTTGACTCCTCCATGGGCCAAAGGGATCCTTGTCGCCTTCATCTGTATCTTGGGTACCTAGCACAGTTTTGGCACACAGTGGCACTCAAAGATACCCCCTGAATAAATAAAAAAAGGGCTAAACTTGAATAACATAGGATAAAGACCTGGAATTTGTCATCATATACTATGGTGTCATGTGCACAGTGTTGTCACAGATGTGAGGTCACAGAACTGGCAGTTAGTTCTCTATGGTTATCTGGCCCAGGCCAGTCCAGTGTCTGAGGCAGGGGAGGAGAAATCCAGTAAAAGTCCCATTTATGTACAAACATTTAATTTGAAGCTGATCTCACCACCAAGGCACCAACCACACACCACAAATGATTCCCACTGTGTGCGAGAGAGACACAGTCCACGAGGCTCCTGGCTACCACTCCGTGTCCACCAAGCCCCAAAGATAGTCGCTGATGAATTTCTTGGAGAGCTGGGTGCTGTCCAGGTGGATGGGCTGGGCCACGCTGGGGCCACAGTGGACTGAAGGCACAATGTAAGGAAACCCCCGCACACAGCCCTTCCCAGGACCCCCAGCAAAAGGCTACTGCTTTAAAAAATGCGTTGGTAAGATATTTAGAGACTGAAACAAATTTTCATGGGGAAAAAAACACAAGAACCCTAATAATGCACTACATTTTTTTAAACTTGTGGTAAAATATACACAAAACTTCCCACCTTAACCATTTTTAAGTGTGCAGGTCAGCGGCATTAAGCACATTCACATTGCGCAACAATCACCACCCTCCGCCTCCACAACCTTTTCATCTTGTAAAACTGAAACTCTGTCTCCATCAAACACTAACTCCCCAGCCCCTGGCACCCACTATCTACTTCCTGTCTGGAGGAGTTTGACTCCTCTAGGGACCTCCTGCGAGTGCAGAGTGCAGTCTCACAGCCTTTGTCTTTTTGTGTCTGGGTTATTTCACTCAGCATGTCCTCCAGGGTCATCCATGTTGTGATATGTGTCAGCATTTCCTCCTCCCGGAACACTATTCCATTGTATGCATACGGCCCATTGTTTTATCCACTCATCTATCAAAAGATGCTTGGGCTGCTTCCACCTTTTGGCTATTGTGACCAGTGCTACTGTGAACACTGACATGCGAGTATCTGTTCTGTCCCTGCCTTCAATCCTTGAGTGTTTATACTCAGAGGTAGACCTGCTGGATCTCACGGTGATTCCATGTTTCCTTTTTAGGACCCTCTGCCCTGTTTTCCTACGGTGGCTGCGCCCTTTTACATCCCCACCACTAGTGCCCAGGTCTCTTTTCCTCCACAAAGGATACTGCCTTTGATCATCCCCGGTTCACACTCATAATCCCACTCGATTTTACTAATTCGGTGATAAAGTTGAGCCACATACCTGTACAAGACAGAAAAGAGAGAGAAAGAGAAAAGAAAGTTAGCCTAGCATCAACCCCAACAAAAGAGCTGGGGGATTGAACACACTCACACTGGCATTTATGGGACCTACGTGGCTGCAGGGATAGTGACCATTGTGTCTTCATTAATTTCCTTCTCCCGCTTCTCGAGATCAGCCTCGATCTCCTGGAGGTCCTCCAGCTCCCTGGTGAGCTGAGTAAAGCAGGCAGTTAAGGGTCCCCGGCTTTGGAGGGAGGGCTGCCTATGTGCTAACACCAGCCACGCGGGGCCCAGGGTCTCTGCCTCCAGGACTGTTTCCCAGTGTGAGTGACCTCGCACCCCCCCACCTCCCGGCAAGGCTGTGCGCAAGCAGGAAAGGATATAGGAGGCTGGCCTTCAGGTGAGCGTCCTCCTCGCTGGCCTTTCGCAGCTTGGCTTCAATCTGCTGCAACTCAGCCACACCCTGGCACGCCTGCTCCTTTGCATCAAGAAGGCTCTGGGCCACGTCCTTCTCTGCTTCGAGGATCTCTGCAGGGTGGGAGAAGGCTGAGCCCCCTCATCCTGGGCTTCACAGGGCCTGTCCTTCCCCTGGGAGAGCCCAAGGAGCAGGCAGTGGTTTATTGCCTTGTGTTGTCAACTACCCCCATCAACAATGAATGTTCCCACTTCCCTATCTGCAGCTTCCCAACCTGCTCATTCTAGTTCCAAATATCCACTAAACAATTCTACCCGGACCTTGCATAAATGCGGCTGTTCCACTGAAACACATGAATTTTAAAAATATTTTTTAAAAAAATCAGGTCATTTTCTCACCTAGTCTTCATACATAACACTAGTCCATCCTGTTGCCTGGGCAAAGAGCCTGAGACTGACTCACTTTCTGCATCCAGTTGACCATCCAGGCCTGGCAAGTCCCCCTGCCTCCTCCGTGCAGGTAGGTCCTTTGTCCCTCCAGGACACCATGGACAGCCTCCCTGCCTTGGTCTCTCCTGTTACCAATCTGCCAATCCTTGCTGCCCTCTGCCTTCAGAGCAGCTGCATTAGAGGCCAAATGCGAAGTCACTCCCTTGCTGAAAGGCCTCCCGTGGCTCCCCAGTGTCTCCAGGGGAAGGTCCAGGTCCCTGTGAGTATCTGTACCATCCTTGCCAGCCTCCTTTCAGCCTACTTTTCATCCTACCATGTGCTTTTCTCTCTGCTCTGGGTACAAAGATGCCCTCATTCTGCAAAAATGCTGCATTCTCACAGTCCTGGACCTCCGCCTGCCTGTCTTCCAGGGTACAAATCTGGCCCCCCTGGGTAATGCCCAGCTTAGACAGCCGGACGCTCTCCTCTCCCTCCCAGGGCGTGACTATGCTCCCATGAGAGCCCCTACCCCACTGCATTACATATTCCTCAGCTTTCTTCCTCGAAACGGAGATTGCATCTTACACTCACCAGGGATTGCCAACACATACTCAGAATGAACACATGTTGAACAAAACATCCAGATTAAAGACATCTTAAGGCTACTGTATTCCTTCCCATAGAGTTGGAGGGACTTACCAACCCAGAGAAAGCAGAGATACAAATGCTTCCCAAAGGCTTGACATTTAAATGCTTTCAAAATTACATTAATTTTTTAAAAAGATTTTATTTATTCATTTTTAGAGAGGGGAAGAGAGGCAGAGAAAAAAAATTACATGAATTTTTAATCAAAGTCCATGGTTGTGAAAGTTTAAACACACACCCACCCCCCTCTCTAAGCCTCTCCACCCCTCTGAGGCAGCTACTTTAACTCTTCACTATTTTCTTGGGCACTGACCTTCGTATTTCTAAATAATTTGCTTATGCTGCTATTTCTCAATTTGTCTGTTTGAGATGGTGCCTGCTGACTTCCTGTTGGGAGAGCTGAGGGTCTGGCTTTCTTACGGAGCTTCCCTGTCCCTTGCCCACTCACCCTCCCGGGTGTGCGCTCACTCAGTGCATTCTCACAGCCCTCTGACGGAGGTCGCTTATCCCGGCCCACAATTTGAGAGGTGAAGGAGAGGCCCCGAGAGGTCCAGGGACCTGTTCACAGGCACGCAGCTCCAAAGGCTGAACCAGATTCATTCGACTCAAAGCCCCAGCTCCCCAGAACAGACTCTTCCCTCTCCAGCCCCAAAACATCCATGGAGGGGGAGTTAAGGGGAGGGGGAGTTAATAGAGAGGAAGAAGAGGGAAGAAAGAAAGGAGGGAAGAGGATGAGAAAAGAGGGCAAGACCTTGACTAGGACATCCATCATGCTTAGATGAATGTCCAAACTCCCAAGGGCTCACAGGCCTGTTAGGGTCTGGGTGCTACTGACCTAATCTATCTCTTTTTTCTCTGTCTCCAAGCTCCTCCTCACTTCACAACCCTGCATTCCGTAGTCTGCCAAGAATGTTCTTTCCGTGAGCCATCCCGTGCCTAGATCCTGGGTCATTTTCAAGCCTCAACCCACCTGGCACCTCCTCATAAAAATTAACTGTAAAAAGGCACCAAAAAACGCTGGCATGGAAACCACTGTGAAAAACTAGATGGCAATCCCTCAAAAAAAATGAAACATCAAGTTACCATTTGATCCTATAATTCTACTCCTGAAAAATACAAAAAAGAATTGAAAGCAGGGACTCAAAAAGATATTTGTACTCTCATATTCATAGCAGCATAATTCGCAATAGCCAAGGGACAGAAGCAACCCAAGTGCCCATGGACAGATGAATGAATAAAACAAAATGTGATTTATACTTACATGTCATGGAATATTATTCAGCTTTAAAAAGGAAGGGAATTCTGCCCTGGCTGAGTGGCTCAGCTGGTTGGAGCATCACCCCATGCACTGAAGGGTACACACCTAGGTTGCAAGTTCAATCCCCAGTTGGGGTGCCGGCGGGGGGGGGGGGGCCGCAGCCAATCAATGTTTCTCTCTCTTTAAAATCAATAAACATATCCTCAATGAGGATTAAAAAATATATTTATCTTCTTTAAAATAAATAAAAAAGAAGAAAATTCTGACACTTGCTACAACATGGATGATACCTTGAGAACATTATGTTCAGTGAAATAAACCAGACACAAATGGACAAATACTGCATGATCCCACTTATGTGAGGTCCAATTAAGAGACAGGGTGGGTGCCAGGGTATGGGCAAGGGGCTTGGGGAGGGAGTGTACAAAATTTCAGTTTGGGATAAGAAAAAAGTTCTGGAGATAGATGGCAATGGTTGCACAACAACGTGAATTCACTTAATGCCACTGAACTGTAAGCTTAAAAATGGTTAATCTCATGTCAATTTTACCACACACAAAAATGTTTTTGTAGCCAAAAAATAAAATAAATAAAGCCTGGCCCTGAGAATAACAGTGTCAATGCTGTCAGCAATCCCATTTCACAGATGAGGAAAGAGGCCTGAGAGGGAAGTCACCGGACTGAGGCCACAGGGCGGATGAGTTTACTGCTGAAATCCAGGCCGGAGGCCCTGGGCCTCATTTGTGGGAAAGGCTGGATCTAGTCTTCTCTGTGGCATAGGAAGACACTTATTAGAACTTGTTTTCCTTACCTTTAGAGTCTTGTATTTGACGGTGTCTTGGATTCAACAAAAATGGTACTACTTATCCAGTGTTCTTTCCGTATAAAGCAGGAGGCACTTTATCCACATCAATTTATTTAATCCTCACCACAGCCCTGGCTCCCCTCCCTCCTCTACTAGGGGTTCCTGCAAAAACATCATCTCAGAAGGCCTTCCCTGACCCAGCCCCCAAAACATCACTACCCCTCCCTACACAACCTAGTTTTTCTCCTTAGCCAATCACCTCCTGATGTATCCATTTTTCTTATTTATTCTGCGTCACCACCCCCACCCCCACCAGCATGTCAACTGCCCTAAGGGATTTTGTCTGTTTAGTTCACTGCTGCCATCCCAGGCCTGGCGCTATGCCTGGCACACAGCAGGTGCTAGTAAAACATCTAAATCTCAGGAAGTGAAGGTGCTGGGTTTCAAACTCGGCGCTTTGACTCCTGAGCCCCAGTTCAAATCCGGAGTCCCTTAGCTCCTGCTCACCGAACGCTCAGAATTGGACCAGGCGCTCCAAGCTCCAATATAAACTACTAAACCCCTGGAGGTGGCTGTTGTCCTAAAGCCCATTTTACGGGTGGAGAAACTGAGGCTCAGAGTGAGTGGCGCCCGCCCGCTAGTCCCACGGGGAATAGGCCAAGGGATGGGGGTACCCAGGAGAGAGGGGATTTCGAGGCAGATTTTGGCCGCACCCCCCTTATCGTAAGGGCCTGTGTCCAAGCCGCGCCCCGGCGCTGGCCCCAGCCCTCACCTCGCAGCTGCTGCTCCGCACCGCCTTGCGTCTCCAGCAGCCGCTCCATCATCTGCCGGTAGCGCCCTAGCAGCCGCCGCTGCTGCGCTTCGGCGTGGTTGGCGCCCAGCAGGCTCAGCAGCCCCTGACACAACTCCTCCATGTCGCGGAAGGCCGCCATGATTGCACGAGCGCCACTCCCGCGCAAATTTAACTGCCTGTAGGGGCCGCCCCCTTCCTGAAGAGTCCCATTTCTATTGGCTTGGTTCTCCATCAATCACCAGCAAACGGTGGGCGGCCCCCTCTATTCTGGCGTAGTGCGCCTGCGCTTGATACTACGCCAGCCATTGACATGGGCCAATTGGCGCCATCCAAGAGTCCTGGCTGATTTGCCTGGACAGACTGGACAGACACAGATAGAGTTTGAAGTTGTGTATTTCTCGTTACGTGGAGCACTTGCTGCATGCAGGGCGGCGTACTAGGGGCGAAGCAGTTAATTGCTGCTAGCAGAGCTGAGGTTCTGCAGTGTGCGTGGGAGACTCACAATAGATAAGGGAACTCTATATAAGGCTCCATAGAAAGATGGGGTCTACAACTAGATTTATTGGATTCCAACCCCAGCTTTGGTACTTATTAAGCTGTGTTACCGTGGGCAGATACCTTAATTCCTCTTGTCTCACTTTCCTGCTCAGTAAAATGAGGGTCGTCACAGTACCTACTTCAGGGTTAGTGTGATGAGGGCGATGTGTCTGTAACTCAGTAAGTGCTGTACAGATGTTAAATAAAACATGAAACGCTAGCCGGTGACGTGCCTAATGCACCGAACATCATGCTGTGTGCGGGGTTACAACAGAGGAAAGACAAACTACACACTTTTGTGACATGTCCCTCAAACCGAGGAGAAGGAATCAATGCAGTGGGTCATGACCAGTATTTTCTATGACCAGTATTTTCTACAAAGTGTAATGGAAAAAAATTCAGTGCATTGTGTATGGAAAGTTAGTTAAGTACCTGTATTGTTTGGGGACACTCCCAATTCTGCATTTGTATACTGGGTGTAGCCGATTGAGTTTTTGAATAATGGCTGCAAAAATACTGTAGTTCCAACCTTCCCACTGCCTATCAAAAGATAGACTCTAATTCCTTTCCTCCTGAACTTGAACAGCACTTTGTACAACAAATAGAATGTGGCAGAAAGGACAATGTGAGACTTCCAAGCCTCCATCAGAAACTAGGATACAGTACATCTTTTGCCTAGTGTTTGTTCTCTCTCTCTCCTTCTCTCTCTCTCTCTCTCAGTTTCAGGATGCCCTCTCTCTGAGCCCAGTTGCCATGCTGAGAGGAGCCCAGGCAATGTGAATATCCCAGATAAGTTCTCAGCTAAAGCCAGCACTAAGCACCAGACAAGTGAAAGAATATTGAAATGATTCCAGCTCCCAGCCTTCAGGCCACCCCAACTGACACCAGGAGGAGCAGAAATGAGCTGTCCCAATCAAGCCTGTTCAAACCACAAATCTGTGCAAGCTCAGTGCCATTGTTTAAAGCTAGTAAATTTGGGAGTTACTTGTTACACAGCCATAACACCTCGACTGGCCCGGTCATATGTGAAATCTATATTACTATAGGTCACAAAAATATTGTTCTGGTTGGTGTGGTTCGGTTGGTTGGAGTGTTGTCCCATGGACCAAAATGTTGTGGGTTTAATACCTGGTTGTCAGGACACATACCCAGGTTGCAGGTTCCAACCCTGGTCAGAGTGCATACCCTGGTCGGGGCGTGTATGAGAAGGCAACCTATCAATGTATCTCTCTCACATCGGTGTTTCTCTCTCTCCCCCCGCCCCCCGCCGCCCCCCGCCCAGCCCCTGTGCTCAATGGCTTGTATTTAGAGGATTGCAGGGAGGGGAGAGGCAGCAGAAATGTATAGGTAATCTAATTACATCAGCAGCTTAAGTTTACAGAGAATAGATATTGTCTAAAGATGACAATGGTAGGAACACACCAAACTGTTTCCGGTCGGGTTGAGCAAACATTATGGTGCCAGGTGGGATTTGGGTCAGGGTCCAGGAGTTTTGTACATTTCTTTCCCAGCCTTGAGGTGGATGTCTGGTTTAAGATTAACAGAGCTTGAGGGAGAAACAAAGCCTGCTGCAAGGAGTGTGATGCACTCCTAGGCCTGATTTCGCCCAGGGGCCCTCGGAGTCATTATCAGGTCTTGCCTGCCTCTGGCTTTACTGGTGTTCCAGCCAAGACTTATGGGTCCTTTCCCAGGACCCAGCTTACACGGGGCAACAGTTACAAATACCACTCAAAGCAGCCCACTACAGGATACAAATAGCCAGGAAGAAGAAGGAACAAGTGCAAAGGCTGCTGAGGATGGGAACATTTTAGTTTAAGAAACATTGAGTGGCTGGAGAGGAGTGAGCGAGAGGGTCTCCAGGAGCCCTGAAGTTTTTTCTGGTGTAACAGGAAGCATTGGAAGGCATTATGTAGGGGCGAGCTAGGGAAGATCCCAATTCCAGATCTTCTAAAATCGAGAGAAATTGCGGACAAACTGGATGTGTGGAATGAGGAAGAGAAAGAGGATGCTTCCCGGGTGTTTAGCTTAATACCTGGACGGGTGGTGGTCCTAGTGGCCAAGATGGGGAGGAGCAGGGTTGGAGGTGAGGGGCTGTGTGAAATGAACAGATTGGGTTCCTAATGACTTGGGGATGGCCATGCAGAGCTATGAAGAATGCGGCTGTGCCCTAACCGGTGTGGCTCAGATGGTTGGGTATCATTCTGAAACTGGAAAAGTTGACATTCATGTTGCCTGTCGCTATCAGAACCAATAAAGTAGAGACCAAGATTGAATCTTTGTGGGTGCTTTTAATCAGATGGCCAGCAATCTGAGAAAACTGCAGATTATGTACCTTAAAAAATGAGCTTACATCTTATCTCAAACCAACCATTGTGATAATGAGAAGAAAAGTGTAGGTAAGGGGTTTGGAATTCAGGGGGAAGTTTAATTACATAAAAGCTGCAGTCTGGTGAGATTTTCCCAGCATCCTTTTATCTATTGACCAGTGACTCTTTATTTGCATCCTGGGCAGTGGGTAGTCATCTCTCTCTGGAGCACAATGACTCAGATACCGTCTTGATCACTTGCAGTCCTCAGTTCTCGTGGGGCACAAAGGTTAAATTGCTTGTGAGTCTCCTGGAGTCAGGATGGGTCTGGTGATCCCAGTTCCTGGAACAATAGCTTTCTACATGCATTAATTACTAAGCTTTTTAACTATAACTTAAAACCAAAAATTGTCCAACACTTAAGTTCCCCCATCAGGTCAGCAAAATGAAAGGTTGCTGGTTTGGTTGCTGGTTCGATTCCTGGTCGGGGCACATGCCTGGAATGCAGGTCCAGTCCCTAGTCAGGACATGTACAAAAGGCAATAGACTGAGGTTTCTCTCACACATTGATGTTTCTCTTCCTCCCTTCCTCTCTCTCTCAAACTAAATAAATGAAACCTCTTTAAAAAAAGAAGAAGAAGGTGATTGCTTGGCTACATGAGTCTGCAGAGGCATTTGGGCTGGGGATAAAATCCAGGAGTTGCCCTGGCTGATGTGCCTCAGTGGACTGAGTGCCAGCCTGCGAACCAAAAGGTTGCTGGTTCAATTCCCTGTCAGGAACATGCCTGGATTGTGGGCCAGGTCCCCCACTGAGGGTGTGTGAAGCCAACTGACTGATGTTTCTCTCACACATTGATGTTTCTCTCTCTCCATTCCCCTCTCTCAAAAATAAATAAATAAAATCTTTTTAAAAAAATCCAGGAGTTGTCAGGGTACAGCTGAAGCCAGATGCGACCACCCTGGGGCAGAGTAAGGAGAAGAGGAGGTGCAAGGTCCAAGCTTTGAAATCTTCCAGCTGTAGACACTGTAGAAGAGAAGCCAGCAAACCATATGTATAGTGTAGCCAAGGGGAGAGGAAAGAAGCTACCACACAACTGTCAGGAAATGTGTTTTCAATCGGCCATCAGAAATCTGACAGGTCCCGAACCCTAGGCCTGGGGCCACCTTCCTCCTCATAGTTTTCTTCCATGAAGTAGTTTTTGCTAAGACCCAGGGGCTGCTCATATTTTACATTTTTACAGTGGTCATGGAGCTGTGGATACCTTTAGTGAAAGGATGAAGTCAGCCCCGGCTGGTGTGGCTCAGTGGATTGAGTGCTGGCCTGCAAACCACAGGGTTGCTGGTTCAATTCCAGAGTCAGGGCACAGGCCTGGGTTGCAGCGTGGCTCTCCAGTAGGGGGTGCATGAGAGGCAACCGCACATTGATGATGTTTCTCTCCCTGTTTCTCCCTCCCTGCTGAGCCGACCTATGAACTTGTTAAACATCACTGCCATTTTACTCTTCTGAGCTTATGTCCCCAGGACTGGAAATTACTGGAAAACAAGACCAGAACATGACTAACGCCCCCCACAGCTGCAAGCAAAAGAAAACATTGGAATAAACCGCAGTTCATGCAAAACAACCTCCTGCATTACAACAGCCCAGGGGCCACCAAGCAGCAACCCCCCCAGCCCACCCTTTTCAATCCAATGAATTATTATCCAATAAAAGCTCAAAGCCCCCACCCCTCAATGTTGGTATATCTCTCCACACTATGACCTTCTCTCAGAGAGTGAATAAAAACTTTACCCTCTGCACCTTCCTTCCCTTTGTGAGCCCTTTCACAGCCTGCGTCACTAACCACCCTAACACTTAGGGCTATTATATTTATTTAGTCTTCCTTGGGTCATGGATCCCTTTGAAATCTGATGAAAGCAAGGAGATAGGCTCTTCCCTGAAAAAATATGTGACTTTTGAGTGTAGGACCCCAGAAAGCCATCCCCAGATTTACAGGTTAAGAAGCTCCCCAGCCCCAGCTGGTGTGATTCAGTGGGTTGGGCATTGTCCTGCAGTTCGATTCCTGGTTAGGGCATATGCCTGGGTGCAGGTTTGGTCCCCAGTTGGGGCACGTACAGAAGGCAGCTAATTGGTGTTTCCCTCCCTCCCTTCCCCTCTCTCTAAAAAAAAAAAAGAAAAAAAAATCAAAAACCAAAAGTCAAAATAAAATAAAACTCTTAAAAACAAAACAAAACAAAACAAAACAAAAACAGAGGCAACTCCCCAGCCTTTGTCTCATGAACCAGCTAGCAGATGTAGAAGTTACGATGCCTGAGTTGTTTCCTGCAGAAATATTAGTGTCTAGGCACGGAGCCAGGTCCCCAGAGTCAGCTCTCAAGGCCCAGGTTGCTCATCCTCCTGATGACTGAGTATTCGATGCTGACACTGCTCTGTCACCACCCGCTGTGTGACCTTTGGTGGCAGGGGCTCACCTTCTGTGCCTAAAGGCAGTGGGGTGGATTACTTAACAAAGCAGAGGGAAATAAAGAGGAGATAAGACCTTGGGTTCAGTTTCTGGCTCTGCAATTTACCTGTGACCTTGGCAAGTTCTTAACCTTCCTAAGCCAGGGGCTAATGATAGCTCTCTTATCAGCTGGGGGGTGGGGGCCAGTGCTCAAGAGATAAGCCACTCAAGGTTGCACAATCACAGCTGTCAGATATAAATGCTCCAGTCAGAAAAGGCCACTCACGTCCATTCCAAAACGCAAAGCTAGAACCACTTCACAGCCAGTAAAGTGGCTACTATTAAACCCCAGAAAATAACAAGTGCTGACACGGATGTGGAGAAGGTTGGAATCCTTGCGCATTGTTGGTGGGAATGTAAAGTGGTGCAGCCACTATGGAAAACAATTAAGCGGCTCTCCAAAAAATTAAACAGAATTATCATATGATCTAGCAATTTCACTTCTAGGCGTATATAAACCCCAAATTGAAAGCTGGAATTGGAAGAAACTTTTGTACACCCAGCATTACTGGCAGCCGAAAGGTAGAAGCAACCCAGGTATCCATTGTTGGATGGATGGATAAAAAAAATGTGCTACATACTATGGAATATTATTCAGCCATATAAGGGAAGGAAATTCTGCCACATGCTACAACATGCACAAATCTTAAGGATATTATGCTAAGTGGAATAAGCCAGACGCCAAGGACAAATACTGTGATTCCACATATATGTGGTCCCTAGGGTGGACAAATTCATAGAGACAGAAAGAAAGGTGGTGGAAGCGGGCGGTAAGGGGTGAAGAGTTAATGTTTAATGGGGACAGAGTTTCATTTTGGGAAGGAGTCCTGGAGCTGGGTGGTAGGACGGATGCACGACAGTGTGAATGTACTTAATGTCACCGAACTGGACACTTACAAATGGTTTAGATGGCAAATAGTATGTTATGTATCTTTTACCACAATTAAAAATACATGTATAAAAAAATCAAAGCAAGAAACCAGGTACTGGTAGGGAACAGGTTCATAAACCATAGCTAAATGAGATTAACCAAGATGACAGAATGGCCCTGGGCAATTACGTCTAAGAAACGATTTTTTAAAAATATTTTCCAAAGGCCCCTTCTTATCTCTCAAACCCTTCTGAAAAACTGACAAGTGCAGCAAACTTCTGCTCAGAAATACACAACTTTGTGTGAAATTCCTGGGATTTCCTAAAACTTCTGAAAGCCACCCGTTATCTCCTGGTTGAACCATCCAGAGGTAAAACAGAGGAAGTGAGAAGTCAGGAGAGCAATCGAGAATCATCAGTTACCTTTGGGGGGAGAGGAAGGGGCTGGGGACGGGGCCGGGGCGGCGGGGGGGGCTTTGGGGGGGCGCCCAGCCCTGGACGCTCCACTTCCTGTCCTGGTGCCAGCGACCCAAGGAAGTGGCCTGTGAAAGGCTATGGAGCTGTACCCTTTTGTACGTGATTTGTGGACACAATGTATGTATATGCCGCCTTGAAAAATAGCAGAGCATTTTAAGACCCAACCTATTAGAAAAGGGTTTGGCAGGAGATACTTCCAAGTGTTGACAATGCAGTTTAGACTAAGTGGGACCGTCGCACCCTTCGCTATGCCAAACATTTCTGTATTGTTTGCATTTTGCCTTTTACAATTGCTACGAATTATTCCATCATCAGGGGGAAAAAAACAATCCTTAAAGATTTTGTTTGAGGTCTTCACTGTGGGTGTTTGTTAGAACTTTCTGCCACAATGACAATGTTTTCTATCTCTGGAGCCCATCACTACAGCCACCAGCCCCAAGTTAATTAACATCAGGCACAAGTTAATTAATTTACATTTCAATGGAAATAGCCACACGCGTCTAGTGGCCACAGGATGGGACAGTGCTGGTCTAGGACAGAGCATAAGGGAGTTTATTTTATAGTCTTGTCCCTTTTCTGTAGCTTTGAAATTCAGGATCAGTAAATTCTAAAAAGGGTTAGCTATTTTAAAGCTTAAAGAATACACGGAGACAATGATCAGACACAGATGTCGGCATTATCATAAGGTAGCTTTATTAAAGTCCTTTACCTTCTAAAAAATGATTACAAAAAGGAATACTTCACTTAAGTGTAATACTGTCTGCATGGACGTACCGTGGCTTGAGAGTAAAGGTCAGGAGTACACGTGAGAAGACAATGAGGGCGAAGGCAGGGTGCCCCGTAGCCTACCATGCCGAGCCCAGTGGGTACCAGGGGAGGGGGGCCCACGGGGACAAATATGGGTTTATCAGGGGCAGGGGGTGGTGTCAATGAGCCGTTTCTAGAAGCTTAAAATAAACACACCCCTGGGCTCCAGGCCAGGACACACAGGCACACAACTCCAGCCGCTTCTCGAAGCTGCCCCAGCGGCAGCCTTCCATCAGATACCAGCGGTCATCCTCACGCAGCTTTGGTTTTGCTTTTTCTCCAACTTACGCACAAGCGCACACACACTCTGGGGTGCCTCCCTCCTTCGACCATCCAAACTCTTTTGTCTTAGGTACAAAGTCAAAAAGATTTGGATCCCTTCAATCAAAATCAAAGCAAGCCAGACTCCATTCGTCCAAAACCACTTCTGTAGGAGAGAAGCCAGCGTGAGCGCTCAGGGCCTGATCTGTCCTCCTGTGGTCTGGCGTCCGCCTGGAGGCCGAGCCGAGAACTGGGCGGAAGAGGGCAGGGCACCTATTAACTAGGAGGCTCACTCCTCTGCACAAAGGCACTTTTTGAGGCTCAGAACCGATGCCTTTTCTTTTTTTGGTTCACAAAAGGAAGGAACAGGAAAGAAAACTATGTTGAGATTCTGGGGACAAAACAGGCCATTAAGGAAACTGTGAGTGTCTGGCGAGCCCCATTTCCAGCAGGCTCTGTTCCAGGCAGCTCCGGAAAGCCTGTAGGTTAAAAAAAAACCCAGCTGGCCCTTGTTTGGTTTTCGGCAAAGCCCTGCCTCTTTAAGTTTGCGCTGGGAGCCCTCCGGGGGCAGCCAACTTTTAATCGTGTGCACATGGGGTTTCTGGAGCTGGCCCCGCACTCTGCCAGCAAGCACATGGCCTGTTTTCTTTCCTTTGAAGAAAGAAATTCTGGAGCCTGGGAAGGATGAGGACGGCCCACAGCCCGGGTTCTAAGCCCAGGGACTCAGCAGCCACTCTGGAAACAAGATTTATTTCCTGTGTCTCCAGGTCTGAGGGGTTTTCTAGGAAAATTAATATTTGCTGGGGCTTCTGTGCAGGGAAGGTCAGATTCGCAGGTCATTTCGTGATGTGAACTGCTCACTCAGCTCAGTTCACACATCTCTGCTGCTGGGTCCTGAGGCCCTGTCCGCCACGCTCCCGAACAGGGGCAACCTGGGCAGTGGCCACGAGGAAGCAGAAAAGACTAATCTCCTACTCCAAGTGACAAGGACAGAATCTGTTTTGTGAAGAGAGCAAAATCCCCCCAAGAAAGCCATTGGGGGGAGTGGACAAAAAGCTATTGAATACCAGACAATTAAATGTTGGGGGCAAGGGGGCATTAAGCTACCCCAGATGCTACCCACGCGTAACATTCAGGATTAAAATGAAAATATGCAATTCCAGTGACTTTCAAATTTGGCAACGAGTAATATGATTTCCCTCCTCCCCTGATGATGATTCAAAAACATTTTCCTCTCTCACCCTCCTCCATCCATCACTGCCAGTTGATTGTTCAAAGTGCTTTCCATAAAGCCATGCCCCGGCATCAGCCGCCGGCGCCAATTTCTATGAGAATGTAGCTTTGGTCTGCACTGTGGCTGCTTTGAACAGGGGTACTGGGAAAAACCCACTTTAAGCTGGAGTCTTGTCACTGTTGGGGGCTCCCTCTGGGAAGCAGAAGAAAAACCCTCTTGCCTTTGAGACTGAGGCCTTGGTGGGTATGAGGGGGGCTGGCCAGGGAGGAGACCAGGGACAAGGAACAAGGGAGGAGGAACAGTTTGCTCGGGGGCTGACCGGCCCTTGAGGGCAGGCGCCTCTGGTCCCCCTCTGGTTCCTCTTGGCTATTCTTCCGCGGAGGACGATGCGGGGCTTTCGTCATCTGACATCGGGGCAAACTGAAACGAGAAGCATAATTCCTTGTTTGGCACCCTTGCCCCCGCTGGCTAGCCCCTGTGTCTGTGGGGAGTGAAGCAGAGGCCGGGGCCCCTTGGCCTCAAGGAGGTGATGTTGTGGGCAAGGTGCTCAAAGAAGCAAATAAATAAATGCAGCAGGGGATTTTCATCAGGGATAAGGGATGGAAGTGACTGAAAGTGGACAGCGGGTGGCCAGGGAGTGGGGTGTCTGAGCCTGAATGATGCTGAGGGAACTTCAGGCAGAGGCAAGAGCCAGTGCCAATTCCTTGAAGCAGGAGCAGCGAGTGGCTGGCGGGCGTGGCTGGGGCTCAGCGAGTGAGGCGGGGAGGAGGGACAGTGGGGTGGGGGTGAGGGCGGCCGTGCGGGCCTGGTGGGGGCCACCCACAGCGGGCTGTGAGGAGGGGAGGGATGTGCTCCAACTCAGGGGTCCACAGTGACCTCTGGCTGCTGCGGGGACAGCCAGCTGGAGGGGGCAGTGAGGGTGGGAGCCGGGGGCTGGGGGGCCAGGGCAGAGGCAGCAGTCGCGGTCCAGGCAGACACGGCTGGGAGACTGGAGTCCCTGGGGGCAGGAGCACAGATCAGATGGCGAGGCGTCACCAGCACCATCTCTCCCATCTTCCAGCCGAGGAAACCGAGGTCCAAAGCTGCCCGCCAGGCGATCCTGAGCGTCGTCACTGAGGCACAGATACCCTGAAGGCAGACCTACTCGGCGCCTCAGAAGAACCCGGGAGGCAGGCGGAGAAGGACGGCGTATGACTCCGCCACCCTCCCTCTTTTGGACCGTTTGGGGAATCGCTGTGGTCGACGCCCACCCTGCTCCCCTTGAACCGGGTCCCAGATCGCCTCGGGGAAGCCAGGGCAAGTGTAAGGTCGGGGTGAGCAGGAGAGGGAAGCGAGGCTCCCCAACAAGGTCTGGGGACAGATGGACCCCAGGGCCTCTGCCCCTTCCTGGAGGTGAGACCTTGAACCACGGATGTAACCATTCTAAGTCTTAGCTTCCCCACCTGAAAAACGCAAATAATAATAGTACTTAACGTGGAAGGTTCAAGAAATCACGCCTAGTAGGCACTTAGTATATTGTCTCCTCTAGCACACAAGAGGACCACTTTGAGGGCCTATGGGGAGTGCGCCTGTCTTGCCCGTCAGGGACCGTCTCCTCCACCACACGAGAAGGGTTTTTTCCTCCATCAGACACTTAGGACACATCTAGTATCAATATTATCCTCCTATTAGGCTTCCAGAAAAGCATCTTGCTAAGGAGTAAAAGTTTTTGAAAACCCAGAATTCTGCAGTCAAATAGGAGAAGTGTTGGGTTGAACACAGTTAGATTAGGTTTGGTTACAGTGTGACTTCTCAAGACCTTTAATACACTGGCAGGCTTTAAGTAAACGCCAAAGTCCTTACTGTGGCCCAGAAGGCCCTGCATGATCTGTGGCGTCACCTCCCTGCCCTCATGTCCTCGCTCAGATGTACCAGGAATGCTCCTGCCTCAGGGCCTTTGCACTCTTTGTTCCTGCTGCCTGCAGAGCCACATAACTTGTTCTCTCACTTCCTCAAGTGTTGGATCAAATGTCACTGCCTCATCTGTCACTCACTGTCCCTCATATCCTATTTTATATTTCTTCCCAGCACTTACCATCCCCTGGCTATGATACAATAATTTGCTCATTTTTTCTTCTATTAGAATGTCCGCTCTACAGGGGCAGATGCTTTTTTCTCTTTTGTTCAGTGCTGTGACGGCCAGTGCCAAGAATAGGGCCAGAGACAGTCGGTGCTCTGTAAATATTTCTCGAATGAGTGAATGGTGACTAAGAGTATGCATTTGGAACCAGAAAGATCCGGGTTCAAATACTGTTATGCCGACCGTGACCATGTAGTCTCAGCTCTCTGTGACTCATTTCCTCACAGGGCACCATGAAGGTTCAACAGGCAGATGACTATTAAGTCCCTCGCTCAGGACCCATACACCATCAGCTCTCCATAGACAACTGTCCCCTCCCAGAGCCCCCCAGCCCCGGCCCAGCCAGGGTGGAGACTCACCGAGCACTTGATGTTCATGCGCGAGTACAGCATGGACGCAATTTCACTCTGCCCCGCGTCCAAAGCCACCGTCAAAGCTGTGCTCCCATCCTGTAAAAGCATCGTGGCTACAGTGACACCCAGCACTGAGTTCTCACCCTCCCCGAGGGGCACCCGAGCATTGACTCACGCGGTCGGTGAGTGAGATGTCACAGCTGGGCACCGCCAGCAGCAGTCCTGTGATCTCCTTGTGGCCGTGCTCACAGGCGCACATGAGGGCTGTGGAGCCGTCATCATCTTGCACATTGACGTCTGCTTCGCAGGCCAGCAGAGCTTTGACCACGTCCACCCGGCCATGGCTGACCGCCAGCATCAGGGCTGTCTGCCCTGCCTGGGCAGGGCGAGGAACAGGGTTATGAACTATGCAGGCCCAAGGTATGCCAGCCCTGCTCTGGAACCTTTTGCGGTTCCTGAGTGATCTGATGCTCACAGCACCCCCCTCGCTGGCCTACTTCTGTGTCTCGAACAGTCCGTCCCCGAATTGGGCCCCTGTGCCGCTGGCCCCTCCTCCTCCTGATGCCTCATTCTCACCCCTCAGGTCTCAGCTGAAACCCCGTCTCCTTAGAGAGAAGTCTCCCCATCCCCACGCTCACCTAAAGAAAGGGCCTAACTCACAGATGTAAACATACGTAAATGTTCACTGAGCTAAGGTTGGTGTACTTTTCTGTATGTCAGCTGAACCTCAATAAAAATTAAATCAGGGTAAAAATTAAACCAGTAGATGAACAGATAAACAAATTGTGGTAAGTCCATACTACAGAGTATTACTCAGCCTTAAAAGCAAAGGAAATACTAATGCATACCACCCCATGGATGACCCTTGAAAACATTATGCTCAGGGAAAGCGGACAGACACTAATGGACACACACTACTTGACTCCATTCGTATGACATGCCCACAGTGGGTGAACCCACAGAGGCAGGAAGCAGACTGGTGGCTGCCAGGGGCTGTGGGAGGGAGAGTGGGGAGTGACTGCTAATGGGTGCAGGGTTTCCTTTAGGAGTGATGAGAATGTTCTGGAAGTAGAGGTGATGGGGGTATGACACTGTAAATGTGCTAAAAGGCACTGAATTGTACACTTTAAAAGGGGTCATGTTATATGAACTTCACCTCAGTTAAAAAAAGTAAACTGCCAAGAAATTACTTTTAATTAAAAAAAATGAAATCAGTAAGAAAGCAAGCAGGGTCTGCGGCCCTTCGCGCCACTGCAGCACCCTGCTCCCTTCCCTCGGCGTGTTCGAGCCGTTGCAATCCCCTCCCCTCCCCATCCCCAGGGCGTGCTGGCTGCCCTGCACTCTGTCCCGTCACCCGTCCACGTCCCTGTTCCTTTCAGAGTCTCCGGGCATCTGCTTCCCAACACAGCTGACAGGAGATTTCAAATTAGAAAGTGGGCTACGCCCCCGTCCTCGTGACACGCCTCTAGTGGCTTCCTGCAGCCCCTGAGTCCAGCTGCACCCCGAGTCTCCGCGTTGCCTGAAATGTTAGTGGCTCCTGGAGCCCCAGGTTGGCCTGTGAGCTCCAGGAGGATGGGGACTATGCCTGCTTGTCCACCATTTGAACCCCTGGCATCCACTTGCTACCTAATGAATTACTGAGCAGCACGTGGGACAGTATCAGGGTAACAAAGGACCCCCGTGTCCTCTCCCAGCCCTGACCTGTTTCCACCAGAAGGTCCTGCATCAGAGGCAGCCTGGAGGGCAGGCCATGAGAACGGGGCTCTGGAGCTAGAACCCCTCGGTTCGAATCCCGCCTGCTCTAACATGACCTTGAGGAAATGACTCTGCTCCTGTGAGCCTCCGTGCCTTTGTCTGTGGAGTGGGGACTGTCCCCTGAGCATCGAACGAGATCACGTTTGGGCTTGGCACACAGCCAGGACTTAGGAAACAAACGGGAAGGGCTGCCCATGTTGGTGGCTCCCAGGGCCCATACCTGGCTGGCTTTGGCGTTGACGTTGCCAAGCCGTAAGAGCTGCAGGAGAGTCTCCATGTCATCCTGGGTCTTCAGGGTGGCCAGGGCTGTGAGCATGATGGGGCTGTAGCCAGCACGGTTCTGCTTGTCCACCTGGCAGACACCTACGGGGAGGAGGCAGGGAGGGGAACGTGAGCCCTCAGACCGCGCTGGCACCGGCCCGGACAGCCTCGAGGCTGGGGGAGGGTCCCCAAGGACCAGGCCGCATCTCTGCTATCAGGCTGAGAGCTTTGTTTCACTCTGCCATAACGAGCACTGGGCATCACACCTCCTCCATCGGTCTAGGTAAGGCCTAATTCCCCCTACTCTCGGACTGAGGACCTCCCTCTGCCCCAGCGTGTCCCCACTCTGACGTCCCCACTCTGACACCCTGCGAGGTGCATGGCTCCTCTGAATGGGCCCATTCCACTCCTCCATCAGCATGGGGCCCCCTGACACTGGCGCCCACATTTAGGGCTGAGAGTAGAAGCTGTGTCTGCCTCATTGGTCTGAACAGCCAGTCTCCTTCAGAATAGCCCGTCTCCTCCATCAGACTGTGGGCCCCACCTCCTTCATCAGACTAGGAGCCTGTGTCTTCCCAGGAAGACCAGGGAAAGGAAAATATTTTCCTGTTGAAATGAGAACCACATCTCCTCTCCAAGCCCCAGGCTGGAGGCCATGTCTACCCCGCAGCCTAGGGTCCCACAGGCATGACCTCCATTATCTAGGGGCCCGTGTGGATGGTGGAAAGGCTGCATGTTTTCCTTAAGACCATGGCTGCCCTTTCCAGAATTCTGGGGCTGTAGGGAGGGTGGCATCTCCTCCACGACACTGGGAAGGCCATGTCTCCCCCATCACACTGCCAAACTGGGGTGGCAGCTGGCCCACACCCCCAGGCCCCCTTATCCTGCCTGGCCGGGCCTACCACTGTCCAGCAGCTGCCGCACCACCGGGAAGTTGGCGTGGGACACGGAGTAGTGCAGCGCGGTGTTGCCGTTGCTGTCGGCAATGTTGACCACATAGTCCAGCAGCCGCGACGACATGGCCCGGAACGTGACCAGGTGGCGCCGCACAAGCTCAGGGTGGGCATCGCTGCGGCAGGCCAGACGCAGCCACTCCTGAAGCACCGTGGTGTAGGCCACTTTCTGGATGCAGGTCGGAGAAGAGAGGGGTATGAGGGTGGGTGGTAGCCCACCCTCACCAGGGCTAAGCTGCGGGAGGGGAGTGTGGATACCCCTTCTTGAACCAGAGCCTTGAGGGGGGAGTGTGGGCACCCCACCCAGACAGGCCCCTGGAGTAAAGTGTATCCCCATCCCCAACAAGGACCCTAGAGGGAAGTGTAGACACTGTAATCCAAGATCTGCCAGATGCTGTGAGGTCTCTATCTTGGATATGACCTTCAAAGGCAAGTGCGGATACTGGGAGAGGGAACTAGGACAGCCCCTTCCCGCAAGCCCCCGAAGGACCAGGAACCTAGGCCAGGTTTGCCGGTGGGTAGGTAGTCTCACCCCCAGGCCCCTCCCCACATCCCTGGCGCCTCTCTAAGGCCCACGGCTCAAGCACACTCCCCCAAGCTCCTGGGGCCCCCCCAGGCTGGCACAGGGAGGCACTGCAGATGACAAGAAGCCTGGGTGCAGGGGAAGAAGGACCCTCCCAGTCCCAAGGCCCCACCATACCAGCTCCCGCTCGGTGAGGGCGTTGGGGTTGTCCAGGTACTTTTCCAGAGCCAGGCAGGCTGAGATGAGGTCGGGGCTCAGCTCCATCCTGCTGGGGAGAGGGGTTATCTTGGCCTCCTGGTTTCCCTTACTCCCCACACCCGGCTGGAGTGCTCCACGAGGGCCTCAGCGGGCTCCACCGTGGCACTCACCCGGCCCTGCCGCGGCTCACCTGAGGGGGAGGGCCTCAGAGGCCCCCTTCCCCAGGAACAAATTTTTATAATAATATGTACCCCATGGGGTAGACACAGAGAACAAATACACTACAAGAGAAAGTGGACACACAGGCTACAGTTTACTTCAAGTGGCTAGTAGCAGATGGAAAATCTTTTCCCAATGTCAGATGAACAGCTGGGGCAAAAATGTCCCAAAAAGTTGTGCAGTTTAAGGACTTTACCTGGCCCCTAAATCTTAACCCAATAGCCCAAATTGCCCCTGTCAGGTCCTTCATAAAAGCCTCTAGATCTTCAAGATACCTAGAAGGAGAAAGGCCTTCTCTGCTAATTTAGACTAGGGTGTGCATGACTGATGGGATGTTCATGCAAAAGACCTGGATGATGGGATCTGAGGTTATCCCATACACAACCCTGGCCCTGCCTCCCGCCGAGACAACTGACCGGATCTCCTTCTCCACATTTGATCCTGATGCTCCCGCAGCTGTGGGCACATGCTGAGACTCCCGAGACAGTTGGCACTCCTCCCGGCTGTTCTTGGTCACTGCTGTCCCCGTGGGCCTGAGCTGGGGGGCTTCGGCCACACTCGGCACCCTGGCCTTGGGCTCTGGGGCCTCGTTCTCTGTGCTCTCATTGTCCGAGAAGTTCTCTGCTGTGCTTGAGTCCTCCGAGGAGGACTCACACCTGGGGAAGGGGGACGGGCGGGGCGGGAGAGGTGTTGCAGATGGGGCAGGGGGTGGTAGGGAAGGGGCCTGGGGCTGACTACTGGACCTCGGTTTCCCCATCTGCTAAATGGGGATGATGTCAGCATGGACCTCACAGGTCTGCAGGAATGCGGCTTACAGCACCTGGCCCAGAGTAAGTGCTCAGTAAACACTGGCCGTGCCTGGGGTCACCCTGTGGGGGGGAGGCGGGAGAGGCCCTGTTTTCCCTTCTCCCCTTCGGTTCCTCTCCAACGCCTGGCCCCTTACACAGGTGTTACTGATTCAGACTCTCACCCCCCCTCAGATGGGACCCTCATGCTTTCTGCTTCCTCTGGACGAAGTCTAAGCTACCTGGCATTCGAGGTCCCGTGCCGGTCTGCTTCCGTTCACCTCCGAGCCTTTATCCAGGCTGTGCCCTCCCCCCGGCTCACCCCCGCTCACCCCCTGTCTTCACTTTGCCAGCTCCTGCTGTCCTGCAGCACACGAGCCCCTCCTTTAGGGACTTCCTGGCAGGCATCCCTACCTCCCCAAGATCCCACACGGCCTGAGCGTGCCCATCAATCATTGCTCCGACCACACTGCTGAAACCGCCCTCCAGGGCCCGAGGCCTGGCCAGCCCGGGAGCTGCATCAGGGCAGGAGCTGAGTCTGGCACCTCCCAAGGGGTGATGCAGAACAGTGGTTACTGCACCGGCTCTGGAGCCAGAACACCAAGGTTGACTGCTGATCACCAGCTGAGCTCCAGCCTCATTGTGCCTCAGTTTCTTCATCTGCCTACCGTGCTTTAGTGAAATGAATGCATCAAAGTGAGGGGCTTAGACTGGGTCCTGGGTACATTCTTGGAACAAACAGGGGAGTGGCAGTTGGCGAGTGGGGTCGGGGCTCCTCTCACCCTCCATTGACTCCCACGCACTGGAGGCCCCGCTGGTGGGCCTCGGGGTCTGCGGGCTCCTCCTTCCGCTTCATAATGGACCGCACGCCCTCCTGGAGCCCACCTAGGGGGAGAGGTGGTGTCACAAGGCTATCCCAAAGCCAGACCCCATGCCTGGGCCTCCAGTGCTCTGTTCCTCTTGGCGGCCACCCCTGTTTACCTCCACTTCCAGGCTCCTCCGATTCACGTGAGGCTGCTTGCCTGGTGGGCTCCCTGTTGGCAGTGTCGCAAGTGGGCACCCAGCCTGCATTCTTCGTGGGCTGCGCCTGGGAGGCTGCCGCAGACCCGGGGGGTGATGAGGATGACTCCGCAGGAGCCTGTGGGAGACCTGGAGGGGCAGGAAAGAGGTACTCACGGTAGGTAACAACAGCAAAGCAGTAACAATTATAATAACTGTCTCCTGGAGTCAGGGGCTCTGAGGGCTAATTCTGACATGACTTTGTCAAATCTTTCCAGCCCATGAGGAGAACTTGGATTATTACAGATGAGCAAACTGAGGCACCAGAGGGTTGCCCAGCGATTGAGCAGCAGAGTCTGATTCCAATCCTGGTTTGTTGCCGGCCCCATGCTGGTCAGGGACAGGAAGACCCTGCGACCCCATGAGGCTGGCTCATGCCCTTCTGGCGACATACTAAGTGTTGTCTGGAAACCAGGTTTGATCACAGCTGAGTCCGGTGGCCATTGCAGGGAATCATGTCTTCTAGGAGGGAGCTATAGGACGACCTCAGCTAATTCACTTAACCTCTCAGTGTCTCAGGAACATGACATTCCCACTTCCTGGCATCCCATGCAGGCTAAAGACAGTAAGGTGGCATGAAGAGCTTAGAACGATGCCTGCACTTCAAGAGTGCACATGAAGCATCTGTTAAACCCTGGCTTGGTAGGTCAGCTGGTTAAAGCATTATCTCAGATATGCCAAGGTTGTGGATATGGCAAGGTAGTGGTTCGATCCCTGACCGCGCATATAAGAATCAACAAATGATTGCATAAGTGGAACACATTGATGTCTCTTTCCCATTCTCTCTCATTTCTTCTTTTTCTCTTTAAAATCAATCAATAAATTTTTTTTAAAAAAAGAAGTATCTGTTAATTCAAGAGAATTGTAAACTATATTTTGATGAGACCTAATATTATGATTTTTCTTTTTTTTTAACAAAAGCAGGATTGTGCTGTAGATAGCATTTTGTATCTGGCTTCCTTTTTTCCTCCTTTACTTAATTTTAAACAGGTGTTACTTTAATAAAAAGGAAAAAGAAACAATAGAGCTATTGGAAAATGACAATTAAAATGCCAGCAGGCAGCCCTGGCTGGTGTGGCTCAGTGGATTGAGTACTGGCCTGAGAACAAAAGGGTCGCTGGTTCGATTCCCAGTCAGGGCACATACCTATGGGTTGCAGGCCAGGCCCCCAGTAGGGGGCGCAGGAGGGGCAACCATATATTGATATTTCTCTCTCTCATCCTTCCCTTCCTCTCTCTAAAAATAAATAAATAAATTCTTAAAAAAACTAAACAAAACAAATAAACACCCCACCAGGCAGTTTCAGTTTGGGACGATGAAGAAGTTTTGGAGGAGGGTGGTGGTTGTGGCTCCACAACAGCATGAATGTGCTTGATGCCGCTGAACTGGGCATTTAAAAATGATTAAAATGGGAAGTTTTATGTTATGTGTTATCACAACTTTTTTTAGAAAACTCACCGAGCTAGGTCTAAGGAGAAAGGTGACTTTGTGGGCACCAGGCCCTGAGGGCACCCACTGTCCATCTGGGAATGCGGCTGGCAGGGAGCCCCAGCCCCAGGTCACCAGCCTGGAACGAGGAACAAAAGCCCCCTCGCCACTGTGAGTGGCTATCCAAGTCTTGGAACAGTTCTGGTCCCCCCAGGCCACTGCTGTGGCTTCCGAGTCACTGCTTCCCCAGGAAGTCCCCTTCCTGCCACTGGCCATGGACTCCGCAGACCAATTCATCTTAATTCTTTTTAACAGTGAAAACTTCTCTTGACATACAGAGTAACTACTTCCTTCAGTCCCTGGGCAACACTCAACTTAAGAACAGGGAGTAAATACTTGGGACAAGCACAGAGAAAACATGAGACACTTGGCCACAAACGCTCGGACAGCACTCCAGCCCAGGGCGTGGCTTGGACTGGGCCAATTCCAGAGCTGGTTTTTACGTGAACCTCTGATTTTTATTTATTTTTTAAACCTTGTCAAAAAATTCACATCCAACGAGCAAAAACAGTATGTAGCCAAGTGAAATGTGTCAGGAGGCAGATGGCCAGTTCACAATCTCTGTGTGTGCCCCAACCTCATAACACCTTGGGAGGGTCCAAAAATCAGGTAAGGCACTATTTTGCTGAGTGAAAGAAAGAAGGCACAGTAGGATAAATACTGCATGATTCCACTCACAGGAAGTCCCTAGAGAAGTCAAACCCACAAGAGCCAGAAAGCAGAACGGTGGGTGCCAGGGGCGGGGCGGGGGGGGGGCGCGGGGCGTTGGCGCCTCACAGGGTCAGTTCCAGGCTGGAAGATGGACGAGCTCTGCGGAGGGCTGGCGGGGACAGCTGCACACAAAGTGTGGCTGCCGAATGCCACCAATTGGGACACTTAAAAAGGGCTGTGATGGTCAATTTTATGTTATATGTACTTCACCACAATTTTTTTAAAAAATGAAAAATATAAAGTGGAGTAGCACCATGGCCCATCCGGCCCCAGGGAAAAGCAGACCCTGCCTCCAAAAGCCTGGGTGGCTCCTTCCAGCGTGAGGTCAAGGTCAGACACTACAATCCTAAAATAACAACAATAAAAATGATGGTATTTATTGCTGTTATTTCACTGGGGGATGGGGCAAACTGATACCAAAGTTTATGTGGAAAAACTAAAGTCCGTGACTAGCTAAGATAATTTTACGGCAATGGGCAGAGATGGGGAACCCAGCCTGGGAGAGAGTGAAACATATTCCAAAGCTAGAGCAGTCCAAACAGTGGGGTATTGTTACAACAGGACAGGGGCCAAAGGAACAGAGGAGAGCGAGCCTCTCAGGGAACTGGAGGTAAGACAGTGGTTTCCGCACACTGGTGGTTAAGGGTGGGCTCTGCGGTGTGGTGTTGGGGAAAGCAGGTTAGTCTAGCCAAGGAAAAAAAAATCAATTGGAGCCCTACCTTAGGACTTACACAGAAAATAAACTCTGAAGGAATAATATGAGGGTACAACTACAAAGCCACAGGAAGAAAATGTAGAGTATTGGGGGCCTTAGGAAGGGGAAAGATTCCTCTAAAAATTCCTCAATGTCTAACCACTATGCGGTACACCTGAAACTAATATAAGATTAAATGACAATGGTAATGAGGGGGGGGGAAAAAACCAACTCAACAAATAAAACTTCAAATACAAAAAAAAAAACAACAAAAAACAACCCCACCTCAAAACACAAACCATATATGAAAAATACAAGGTGATCTCAGTTATAGGTGGAATCTAATAAAACTGAACTCATAGATAAAGAGAGCAGATTAGTATATGCCAGGGGTTGGGTGGGGAATGGGTGAAGGGGGTAAAAGGTACGAACTTCCAGTTATAAGAGAAATAAATCCTGGGATGTAATGTCCAGTGTGGTGACTCTAGTTCATAAAACTGTGTTGTATATTTGAAAGCTGCTAAGAAAGTAGATCTTAAACATCTTTATCACAAGAGAACACACAACTGTAACTCTGTAAGGTGATAGATGTTAACGAAACTTATTGTGGTGAGCACTTTGTAATAGATACATATTACCAGGCTGGTGTGGCTCAGTGGGTTGCGCACTGGCCTGCAAAACAAGGGATCTCCGGTTTGATTCCCAGTATAGGGCCACATGCCTGAGTTGCAGGCCAGGTCCCCAGTTGTGGGCCTGCGAGAGACAACCAATCAATGTATTCATGTTTCTCTCCCTCTCTTTTTCCCTCCCTTCCTCTCTCTAAAAATAAATAAATAAATCTTTAAAAAAATACATAATCAAATCATTAATTTGTACATCTGAAACTAATACAAAGTTATATGTCAATTACATCAATAAAAATGGGAAGAAATTTAAAAATATGATGGGTTTAACTGACATAAATATTTCTAATTGATAAAAACAAACCAAAAAAATCCAGACTCATAGACAAAGTTAATTGATAGAAGAATATAGACTGAACAAGTGATAATCTTCTAGAACAAGAGTCAACAAACTTTCTCTGTAAAGGGCCAGACAGTAAATATTTTTGCCATGTGGGCCTTAAGGTCTCAGTTGAAAATAGTGCAAAAGCAGCTCTAGACGGTACGCAAATAAACAGGCATGGCTGTGTTCTCATAAGTTTGAATTTCATATAATTTTGCTCATGTCACAAAATGCTACTCTTCATATTGTTCAACCATTTAAAAAACATAAAATCATTCTTAGCTTGTGAGCCATATAAAACAGGTAGCGGGCTGGATTTGGCCCACAGGCCCAAGTTCACCAACCTCTGTTTGGGGACGTGCCAGGAACTTCTCAAAATTGATCAAAGAAGAACGCACAAAGGCTACAAATAAGCAAGCCACAGAGGCATCTTATTAAACATATATGGTGATGTCCAACCGCATCCGAAATCAGAAAAATGCCAATTAAACCCAGGGGATACCACTTTGTACTAGCAAAGATGGGCAAGACATTAGAAACATGTAACAAATTGTATGTTGGTGGGGATGTGGGGAAATGGACGTCTCAGTCCAAGCGTGGCTGGTGCGAGTGTGAACTGGGCAGCTTTTCCAGAGAGGATCAGACAGAATGGCTGACACTGCCGTTCCCTGTGGCCCAGGGAACCTGTGGAGGGAACAGGTGAGGACGGTCCCAGAGCGTTCCTAGTGGTCAGGAGTGGGAAGTAGCCTGGGTGCCCACCAAGCTGGAGAGCAGAGAGGACAAGTGTGGCACTTCTAGAGCATTAGAGGTGACAAACCAGAATTATAAACATCGGGATGGAAAGTTCAAAAATAGTGTGTACAGAGGAAAAAATAAGGGTTTTTTTTTTCTAAAGCACAATACCATTTTAGGAAATTAAACATGCACAGGGCATTTTTTCAAGGACACTCAAATGTCTAAATAAGCTCCTGGAAGGTGGGGCGCCAGGAACGGTATTAGGTGGGGTGGGGGTGGGGACCGATGGCGGCTGTGAGGGAACAACAAGGGGCAGGGATGAGCCGACTCGCGCTCGAGGGCAGTTTTCATGTTTAAAAGAAGGATTCTATTTGGGACACATGGAAATTATATGAAACTGACATTTCAGTGTCGACACATGAAGTTTTCTTGGCACACAGCTATGCTTGTTCATTAATACCTATATTGTTTATGTCTGCTTTCATGCTACAAAGGCAGAATTGAGGCACCAAATTCATCAGAATGTATACATTAAAAAATCTATATATTTTTTGGTATATAATTTAATAAAGTTAGGGGAAAAAAAGAACCGAGTCACTGCAACAGAGACCATACGGCCTGCAAAGCTGAAAATACTGATCCTTATCATTGAGGGTGGAGATGAAGGCGTAAAGTTAAAACAATGGCAGTTTGGTTACCATGGCAGAAGACATTTCATTAATTCAGGTTTGGGCCCTAAGTCCAAAAGAAATTGGTAGCCCTGGCCGGTGTGGCTCAGTGGACTGAGAGCCAGCCTGCGAACCAAAAGTTCGTTGGTTCGATTTCCAGCCAGGACACATGCCTGGGTTGCAGGCAGGGTCCCCAGTTGGGGGCCTGTGAGAGACAACCAATCAATGTATCAATGTTTCTCTCCCTTCTCTTTCTCCCGCCCTTCCCCACTCTCTAAAAATAAATAAATATATAAAATCTTAAAAAAAAAAAAAAAGAAGGAAATTGTTAAAATGTAAATTACTCAGCCACCCAATGCTGGAAGGGAGGTGAACCCAGGGGGGTGTAAAGCAATTTGGTAGCGGACATCAATGCCCTTTCAGAACCTGTGCTGAAGAAACAGATCATTGGATGTGAGGGGTTCCTTTAAGGACGTGTGTGGCTGCCTTGAGTGTAAAGAATGATGTGGCTGTTCAAAAATAAATAGCACATCCCAAGAATTCTTAGTAACATGAGAAAATGTCCCTGGGGTAATGTTAAATCAAAATCAAAGAAAGTATAAATCCTGGCTTTGAGAACTGTGGACAAATCTGTTAACCCGCCTATACTTCAGTTTCCTCATCTATCACATGGGGATTAAAAACACCACCCCACCTCATAGAAGTGCTGGGGATTTAAATGAATTAAAATATGAAAAGGGGGTCAAATAATGCCTTGGTCCATAGCAAGGGCTGCCTAAATCCTTTTAAAATAAAGATAAATGAAAAACCCCATCAGCTGTGTCACCAGACTTAAAAAATACATATTATTTTCTGTGTTAAAAAATTTGGAAGGGAAGCAGCAGAAATGTTGATGGCAGCTGTGTTTTGGCGGTGGGACATTTATGGGGGTTTTACATTGTGTTCTAGATTTTTCTGCATTTCCCAAAGCTTCCACAAAGAATAGGAGTCACTTTCATAGAAATACGTTTTGTGCAAGAGCAGGGGAAATTCCTAAGCCTTGTAGAGACCCCAGGGATGCATGCGCCTCCCTGCTCCTTTCACTGATCTCTTTACAGTGATTTTGCCAGGTTGGGGGACAGGACTTTGGGGTTCTCCAGGCCTCTACTAGCCCTACCTGCCTTTCCCAGGGGAAGACTGCCCCTCACCGTCCCTGCCCTTCAACCACAGTGAGCAAATCCTACATGGCAGGGAGGTTGGGCTCCTCCTTGCCGCCTCCTCCAGGGAGCCCTCTCAGACCTATGCATCTAGCTGATTCACCTAAGCAAATGCATAATCCAAACACTTGTTAGGTCCTCCTGGTATCTCATTTTATTTCCAATATTGCTCCTCCCCAGTCTGCAAACCCTGTGGGACCCGCCCCTGATGCTTTGGCTATCCTGGACCTTGCTTCTCTGGCATCATCCAATTCCAGCTTGTTTAACACCGTGGCTGCACCCACGCCTGTCCTCACTTCAGGACATTGCTGTGCTCCCCTCCCAGAACATTCTTCTCGCCACCTCTTTGCCACCTGGCTGTTCCTTTCCTTTCACATCTTGGTTCAGAGTCAATAGCTAACGCTTGATCACCTTCTACGTGTCTGGTGCCACGCTGAACACTTAATACGAATTGACACATTTAAGCCTCACATCAATCTGGCACATTGGGATACCAGGACCCCCAATTTGCAAATGAGAGATTAAATAAATTCCTCAAGGGCACCGAGTTAGGGAGCAGGGAAATCAAATGTGACCGCCCCCCCCCCATTGAATACGTATCTGCTTCAAACACATATTCTCTGAAATGATGTCTCTTAACCTATTTATTGCAGTCTCTTATTTGTTTATTGCAGGAGCTTTTGTCTGCTTCATGCACTGCTGTGTCCCCAGTGCCTAGAAGAGTTTGGTACATTACAGGCACTCCATAAACATTTGCTGAACGAGCAGACATTGAAATAAATTAGCACACTGGGGCTGGCTGCAGCAAGAGGGAGTTAAGTGAGACACAAGAAGAACTGTTGGGTAGGCAGTTTGCTTAGGGTGAGGACATTGCTATGTCTGTGTGTCCTGAAGGCAAAAGGCCCTGTGGCTGCCCTGGGAGGCACGTCTGGAATGGAGGTTGCCTCTCAGAGATCCCAAGGCTGGGCCAGGCAGGGCCCCTGGCTGGAGGCCAGAGTTGCAGGGCTGGATGTTTGGAATAGATACAGAACAGAGGGGTGGTGCCCAGAGCTGGCCAGGAACAACATGGAAAAGCGAGAAAACACAGCTGGCTCCCCACCCTCCAGCTGTGCCCTCGGGTCCCACCATGAGACTCTGGGCACCTTAGATCGGAGGCTGGGGTGAAGACCTGGGCCCCATCTCTGAGCCCTGCTGCAAGCTCAGGTCGGCTTTGGTTTAGATCCTGGTTCGGCCACTTCCTGGCCGTGAGACGCAGGGTAAGTGTGGCTTCTCTCCGAGCCCCAACCTCCCCAACTATAAACAGACTTGACCTGAAAACCATCAGCAGATGCAGAAACAAGCACAGATTGAGAATTTACTGTGTGCGCTAATTCACGAGTGTCCTACAGGTGGGGACCACTGTCATGCCACTTCACAGATAAGGAAGCTGAGGCCCAGAGAGAAGCTGCTCACTTGGGGACACACGGCGAGACGTGGAATTTCAACCCAGATCGCCTGGCTGCACCGCTCCCTGTCTTTAGCTCCTCTATGGATGAAACACTTAGCAGAGCACCCAGCACCAGGCTGGTGTCCGATAAAGAACAGCTGTCACTATTGTGAATCATCCTGGCAGCTTCTCCAGGGGTCTTGGGGTGGCAGCGGGGGGGGGCAGCTGCCATTCTGCACAACCCACATCCCCTTTCTTGGCGTGAGGAGTCAGCGCTTCTCCAGGGAGCACCCCTCGGGACTTGGCCACAGGATTTGGGTGGGGCTCCTCACCCCTGGGCCTAGGCAGTGAGGAGTGCAATGATGAGATCAGCAGCGGGCATATGACCCACGCCAGCCAGTGAGTGTCACCCCTAAGATTTTTACTGGTGATACTCGGACTGGGGGGCTCCCTTTTCACTGAGCTGCAAGCACAGATCCCCACAGCAGTGGGGCCACCTTTGCCGGGCTGAAAGAGAGGCCTCCAGGGCGCACAGAGGAAGAGAAAGTTAGATTCCAGAGCGCCAGGATCCAGCTATGCCTGAAGCTATCCTTAAGTTAAATGAACACATTTCCTTTTCATTGCTTGAACTGGTCTGGGATTGGTTCCTGCCACTTACTGAATAAACAGGGAGGGTTTTCTGCTCAGCAAACCAACAGCCTTGGGGACCATCTCTCCCAAATACCTTCTGTTTTCTGGACACTGGCGTGTGCTAGACATGAGAACATTCATTTAACGGACACCCAATTTTTCAGCATGATTCCCTACAGCACTGAGTTGGTGGCCCAGTTTCGTCCCCTTTTTGCAGATGAAGAGACAGACACTCCAAGATGGGAAGCGATCTGTCTGGTGGAAAGCCAGGGCTGGGACTGGACCTTGTTGTTCAAAGAAAGGGGGACCCTCCACTGTCCTCCCCTGCCCGGTATGGCTCACCTGCTGCCCCATTGCAGTTTCGCTCCGTGATGCTGATCTTCTTCACCAAGTGGACGTTGCCAGTGCTTGCAGTGGGCGAGGGCAACACTGTCTCCACCACTTCATGGCTTCGGAACACAGCGGGGCTCTCAGTTCCTCCAGATGTCGCCAGGGCCCGCAGCCCTGCCCCGTAGGGCTCCAGACTCTGGGCCCGCTGTGCAGGGGCCCCAGCAGCTGTGCTGGCTGCCACCTCTACCTCCCGAGGCCCCTCCACCACCCGGACGGTGTCCACACGAACTGGGCTGTCTGTCGGTGGCCAGGCCTGGGGTTGGGGATCCGGTTGGGGGCCAGCCTGTCGGGTCTGAGCTGCCTGCAGCTCCTGGAGTGCTTTCTTGAGCTGGGTCTCCAGCACTGCGACCTTGGCAGCAAGGGCCACCTCCCCGTCGGGCACACCCAAGTCCCGCTCACGAACCCAGGTGCCCACACTCCGGGTCTCCAGTGTTACTGGGTCCTCAGGAGCCTCGGGGAGGTCAAGGCAGAGCTCACTGCGGCCCCGGGTCCCTGAAGGATGGCCCAGGAATTTCTGACTCTTGAGCTGCACCGTGAGCTGCCGCTTTTCCTCTTGCAGCACGGACAGCTTCACCTGGAGCACAGGGATCAGCTTCACCTGCTCCTCCAGCTGCCGCAGCTTCCGCAGGGCACCTGCCATCTGCTCCCGAACGTGGGCCAGGTGCCCAGCGCTAGGTGGCACTGGCGTGGACATTCCAGAGCCCCGTGGTGTCGGGGGCGGCAGCCCCACGCCCACCAGCGAGCTGGTGGAACTGGCTGCGCTGGGGGTCAGGGAGCCCAGGCCGGTGGGCGCAGCGGCCTGATCCTCGAGGCGGCGCCTGGCGTCCAGCAGGGTGCGCTCCACCCGAGGATTGAAGCCGCCCCGGGCTTCCAGGGCGCCGTACTGCGGGTAGAAGCCGCGGCCACAGTAGGAGTAAGCGGAGTGGCGGCTGTCCCCGCTGGCATTGGAGCACAGCGACTCGGTCGAGGTCCACCAGGAGCCAGGGCCGCGGGGTAGCGAGCCGAGGCGAGGTCGGCGCTGCACAGCCACGCGCCGCAGCGTGTGGCCCTTCTCAATATCGTCCACATACTTGAGAAAGTCCAGGTCCAGTCGATAGCCATACGGCGTCTCCACAGAGTAGGGAGGGTCGGTCTCCTTGGCTGGGAAGGCGGGCGGGGAGCCTGGGCCGGAGGTCCCTGCGGCAAGGAGAAACGCTAATACCTCTGACCACTGCTGTCTGGGGGTGGAGTGTGGGGTGGGGGAGACTGATGACCCCCGGGGAGAGTCAAAATTTATTTGCCCAAGGCATGGGAGCCCCCTAGGCCCTCAACTGCTCAACCGTGTCTCCAGCCTCCAAGCCCCGCCCCCCACCCCGCGCCCCACAGGACAGGGCCCGGTCTCTCTCCCAGACCCTCCTGGGCAGAGCCAAGTTGTCTCCATTCAGGCCCTAAGGGCAGGGCTGTGTTTCACCCTTAATCCCCAGCCCCCAACCCAGGTAGGGCCCTATCTTTACCCCCACCCCCAGGCCCCTCCCTCAGGCCTCCCAGACTGGCCCAGCTCCCCAGCACTACCCCTCCAACCCCTGGGCAGGGTCCTCTTCCTCCGCAGAAGCCTGACCTGGAAAGGGGGCTGGCACGTGCAGGACTTGGGCCATCCTCCCCTCTGCAGATGCTCCTCAAGAGTCCCTGGGAGGCCCTGAGTCAGACTGCCTCCAGCACTGGCTGAGGCTTACCTGGGGAGAGGGTGCGACAGAGACCGGAGTCAGGAGGGTCTGCCAGGGTGGGAGAGATGAGACCACCAACCTCCACAGCTACCCTCCCCAACACCCCTGATCTTCAAGTAAGGACCCTCTCATAGGCACAAACCTAGCCAAATCGTGGAAGGGAGGGTGGGGGGCCCCCCTGCGGTCTAGAACAAAGAAACCAAACCTCACAGCCTGCCCGCACATCTGTCCAGCCCCTGGACGAGCTCCAGCTGTTCTCATAGCCCTGCCTCTACAAGGATCCCAGGCCAGGGGCCCCAAGCTCTACAGGCCCCATCCTTCCTGCACCCCCTTCCCTCAGCCCAGGCCAGATGCTGGCTATGGGGACAGATGGGGATTGAGGTGGGCAGGGGGCTGGGGTGCTAACAGCGGGTGGCTCCCCAGCAAGGATCTGAGGAGACTCAGAGACAATAAGACAGCTACAGCTTAGGGTAGGGGACCCCAAAGCAAAACTGGGTCAGGGCAGCTGGGGTAGAAGGGATAGGGAAAATTGTGGGGAAGCGGTGAGGAGCAAAGCCTTTCCCCTTTATGGAAACAATTTTCTCTAAAAATAAACAGTTTCACTGCCGGGCTACAAGAGAACTTCCTGCCCCCCCACCCCCCGGACATGTCCAGCTCAGGAGGGGGGTGCCCAGCAGCCAGGCGGGCCCGGGAAGTCATGGGGGTGAGAGGAGGAAGTAAGAGGGGGCGCCTGGAGGATGCAAAAGGAGGGACAATCAGGGCCTCTCACTAACTCAACCACCCAACCCTGGAGTCCAGCCAGGGTCCTTTCATCCCAAACACTCCAAACACTCTGCCTGAGCTTAGCCAGTCCTTCCTGCTGTCTGACTTCCAGCTACCCTGCTGCAGAGACCCAGGCCCATCCCACCACCAGGGAGGACGCTTTCCGGCCTGTGGGTGCCAGAGATGTGGATACCTGGGAGGATGAGCCAGGTAGAGCACCTGCTGGGCATGAAGGCGGGGCTTCCGAGCTGTTCCTTCTCTCAAACCCACGTGTCTCTTGCTTAATGTCTTGCTTTATCTCTCTCCATGTCTCTCTGAGCCTCTTTTTTTTAAACTTCTCTCTCTCTGTCTCTCCACGTCTCTATCCTCACTTCTCTGTCTTGCAATGCCTGGAACACACAGTCCAAAAGTAAGAAATGGTTTTCCATCTGCCTGGAGACTCATCCCCTGCACAACAGGATTAAAAATAATTTCTGGGGACCTGAGACTGGAGGCAGGTAACAGGACTGAAATAACCTGTGGGGGCCCTTGCAGGTGGAAAAGGATGGGGTGAATAATAGTAATAACCACAATGATGATCCGGGTACCAGACAACCCCACCAGATGGGGAATCTTGGGGCACAGAAATGTGCAGTGACTTGCCCAGTGTCACTGGACAGCTGGTCCTAGATTGGAACCTAAGCCTAGCAGATTCCCCCACTCCACCTCCCTCTACCCACTTCTAAGACACAAGCTGAGGTCTGGGAGTCTCCAGCCATCTGACCGTCCTCAGTGAGGTCAGGTGACTCCAGGTGGAGAAAGCAGATTGGACGTGGGGATTTCTGGGGCTGAGGCCCCTCTCCTTCTGTGGAACCCGTGGGGGCCAGGGAGGGGACTCAAGATGGAGACAAAGTTAGGCAGGACACTTAAAGAGGAGGCAAGGTAAGGGGCTCAAGGAAGGAGATCAGGGTCAGGGTGGGACCGAATGTCCGACAGGGACTCCCTACAGCCCCCTTCGCAGACCGACCTGGATGTCTCTGGGGTCTTCCCGCCTCTCTCCCCGCCCCAAAGTTGGGGGTGAGGAGAACCCCACCCGTGCAGGGAGGGGCGGGGCCTGCGGGGTCCCCGGCTAATGGCAAACAGCTGCCGCTCCCCACGCCGGCCCAGCCGCCAGGGCAAGGCCCAGCCCAGCCGGACGCCCGGTCGCCTTCCCGCCGCCCGGGGCCTGGGACCTGGGCCTGGGGCCTGGCTCCGGCCCGGCCACGCAGGGCGAAGGGGGCGAGAGCGAGGGGAGAGTAAAGAGAGGGGTGGAGATGGGGGATAGGGCGGGGGGGGGCAGTGATGGGGCGGAGGAGCAGGGCGAGAGATACAGATGAAGAGGAGGGTGGGCTTGGGGGAGAGAAGCAGGACGGGAGTCAAAGATGAGAACGGGGTAGAGACGCGGGGACCGAGACACTCAAAAGTCCGTAAAGTTTGGGCTGAGATGGTGGAGTTGGAGGCAGCGGCTGGTCGAGACCGCGAGGTCACGCCCCGGAGCTGGGGGTGTCGTGGGGACCACGCTCGAACCCCGATCCAGACTAGAACCCCGACCCGACCCCGGGTCCTACTCGCCTCCCGCGCTCCGGCCGCTGCCGTCCCTGCGTCCCGCCGCCCGTGCGTCCTCCGCGCGCCGCCGCCCGGCCTCGGGGCCCCGAGCTCTAGCCCCGCCCCGCCCAGTCTGTCCCCGCCCCTCAGGGCCGGCCCCGCCCCCAGTCGCCTGCGGGCTGGGTAGCCTTGAGGAGATGCAGTCCTGAGGCCACGATCACACCTGGAAGGCAGGTGTGTGTGCGCGCGTGGGGGTGCCCGGCCTTGTCCCCTAGCCTCCCCTCCCTGAATCCCAGGGGCAGGGCCCCCCACAGCTGTCCTGCCCCGCCTGCTGCAGCTGGGCCGCTGCAGGGGGCGGGACTGGCCTGGCCGCAGCTCTAAGAGGGCGCGGAGGGCGGGCGCGGCGGCGGCGGCTGCGGCAGGTCACCCCTCCCCCAGAAGGCCCAGGGCTGGAAGCGGCCCAGCGCAGGCCTGGTACACAGTGGCGTGACCGCCGAGAGGCTGGGAGGGGACTGGGTCAGTTCAAGGCTGCACAGGCCGTGGCTAAGGCCTGGGCTCCCCAGCCAGCCAGATTTTGCTCCAGTCCCAGCCCCACCATGCCTTTAAGTGCTCGGTGACTCAGTTTCCCCATCTGCAACCTGGGGTTGAGTTGCCTGATAGCGGTACTGGGGAGACTCACTAACGAAGAGGCAAGCGCCTATTGAAGTTGCCTTGAGCAAAAAGACCCATAAATGGAGCAATGTCTTTCGGGGAGCCTTTTAGTACAGGGCTGGGCACTCAGCAGGGGTTTAACAAACGTTCCTTTAGAAAAAAATCATGTTACTATTCCCCAAGTCCATATGTGACATTTTGTGTGTTGCCTTCTCCACCAGTACATCAGCCCTAGAAGGGCAGGTATTTGCGTCCATTGTCACTGCTCTGTCTCTGGCACCCAATATGGTCTCAGTGTCTGTCAAAGATCAGGGTTTGTGGATAGACTGCACACATGACCCAGCCCCCAGGGACGACACCACACAGACTGCTCATAAAAAAAAATTTAAATTAAAAAGGGTAAGAAGTATCAGTGCACAGACAGGAACGGAGGGCCCAGCCCCACATGCAATGTGGTCAGCCCCAGTGGGTGGTGGGACAGACTCCCAGACAGGCGCATGGCTGACGCCAGGGTGCGGGTTCTTCTGGGTGTGGTTTCAGGCCCTGTGAGCTCAGAGGTCTGCCTTCCGGAAACTTGCTCTGTTCAAGGAGTTCCTGGGGGAGGAATGAGGTGGGTCAACATGGACACAGGGCCCCCAACTCCATAGTGCTCTCAGTCCTCTCCCTCCTCCTCCACCAGAGCTACTTTTGGAGTCTTCTCCACTCCTTTCACATCCATTCCGATCTGGCTGTGGATTCACAGATTCTCTCTTGGAACCCCACACCAGAGAGTCGTATCATGCCCATTTTACAGACGTAGAAACCGAGGCTCAGAAAGATTTAGCTGCATGTCTGGGAACTGACCCACAAGGATGCAAAATGGCTGCCCACAGAGTACATCTGTGCACCTGTCCAAGTAGTCACATCCTTGTGTGCAAAGCCAAGTGCACATGCTGATGTGTACGACAACCCCCATCCTGTACCTGCCCCCTCTTCCCCTCTCTGGGTGCAGGGGAAGCCCAGGTCAGGCACCTGAAGTTGGCTGTGGTTGGCGCCAGCAGCTGGGGCAGGCGCTGGGTGAGCAGGGGCTGCAGAGCCTCCCGTAGGCGGGCATAGTTGCGCTCCAGCTCACGGTGGTACTCCTTCTGGTCCGGCCCAATCAAGGCCTTGTTCTTCCGCAGTGCGTCCTCGCACCTGAGGGCCAGACAACAGGGTGCTCAGAGACTGGCACTCGGGAGAGAAAGCAAAACCAGAGAGGCAGAGGAGTCCATGGGGGGGGGGCGGGGCGCGGTCAGGAGCTAAAATGGGAGTAAAGTAGGCAGAGAGCCATGATGGGGGTTGGAGGGACTCTTAACAGGCGAGGTCAGGCCTACTTCTTGCAGAAGTCCTTGAAACAGAGTCGTAGCTTGTTGTGATGCCTGAAGAGCTTGGGATCTTCTGGGATCTCTGCCAGAAACACCTGGGCCACCTCCAGGGGACCCTGTGGGGTGAGGGCCTTGTGAAGGGGTCTGCATGGACTCTGAGAAACCTTGGGAAGCCTGCATCCCCTACCGGCCTTGCCTGGTTCACAGTGGGCCCCACGGAGCCCTGTAGCACCATCTGCAGCATCTTGGCATCGGGCGGGTCCTGCTCAGTCGCAAAGGCCAGCTCCCTTGTCTTCTTCTGCATGTCCTCAATGGCCACCTCCACTGGTGTCAACACTGTCTGCAGGGTCGGGGGCAGTATGCACCGGTTGGGTCTGAAGACATCCTGACCCAGACCAGCCCGGGGCAGCTGGTGCAGGAGAGGGTCTAAGGGGCTATGTAATGACCAGTGTATTGTGGCTCCTGCCTGCCTGGGCCTGCCAGGGCCAGGCTAAGCTGCCTTTGGTCTGGTTGTGATCCAGCCCTGGATCACTTGGGTCTGGAGGAAGAGATTTAAGGCTACAGACTGGGGTCCGGAGGTTGGAGTTTGGAGTCCCCTCACCTCTCCCAAGCCGGGTTTGGGGTCCCCACCTACCTCCTCCCGGTGGCACACGCGGATGCGTGTCTTAATGTAGGGGAAGGCATGGTCTGTGCTCAGCAGCGTCTTGCGCTTGTGTTGCTCATGCAGCTCCCCGTGAGCACGGCCATCAGGCGTGAAGGGTGTGCAGAACAGGAAGGTACGCAGCCCATAGTTGCGGTCAAAATAGGTCACGCGGTCCTTCAGCTCATAGGTGTCAAAGTGTGGTTCCACATATGTGATCTGAATGTAGGCCTGGAGCACAAGGCTTGGATGTGAGGTTCCCACAGCCCCAACATACCCCCCTGGGGTCTTGCCAGCTTCCCAGCATGGGCTCCGTCCCTGGAGAAAGGGGATTTGGGCCTCCATGGGTCTGGGGGTTTCTCATCTGGGATTCCCAGGTCTCCTTATGTTTGGGAATGACCTGAGGGTAAGAATTTGGGGGTCCCCCACAGAAATAAGCTTTGGAGTTTCCCAAAGAAATAGAATTTGAGGATTTCCAGGAAACAGTACTTAAAGTCTCCCTGACTCTAGGATTTTGGGGACCCCAGGGGAGGTTGGGAGCTCTCACCTTCTGGGGGTCCAGCTTGGTCTTGTCGACAGGATTCGAATCTTTGACAATCTCGACCACGTCTTCCCCAAACCTCTCCGTGTAGAACTCCTAGGGACACCGGGTGACTCGGGCTGCACAGGTGTAGCCCCCACCACCCCAGGGCAACCTTGTGGCCCCCCCCCCCCACCACCTGAACGTGCCTCCAGCCGGTGCGAGATCTCAGCCAGCTTCGTGATGGATGGCTCCTTGTATACAAACTCCTGCTCGTCCAGGTCACCAAAGCGGGCACCATAGAAACCCACGCGGAAGTACGTTCCAAAAACGCGCTGGGCTGTAGGAAGGGGTGTTATTGTCCAGGAGGCCCCACTGGAGGTCCCCCTGCCCCAGATGTGGAAGAGGTGAACATGGGCAGAGGGAACCCAGAGAACTTTGGGTGGTGATATGAGGACCCCAAGAACATCATATCACAGGCACTGGTGGGGAGACCCCTTGAATATTGGGGCATGGACCTAAACCACCGCCAGCTGCCCACACCCTTGCTCTCTCTTCCTAGCTTCTACTACCTCTCCCAAATCGTCCTTCTCATTTAACATAAGCCCCAACCTTCTGCTTTTTCCCCTCACCCCATGCAATTCTTCAGCATCTGGATCCCAACATGA